TGTGTGTGTGTGTGTGTGTGTATTAGCGGCTCCGCCCTCTCGGTCTGCTAGGCAACAACATTTGTTGCATTTTTCAAACAGGAAGTGGGAGTGGAGTAACACTCTGGTAGGGGGTGACTTGCTCTTTAAAGTATGTGTACACATTTCAGCGTGTCAGGTTGTTGTTGAGAACAAAAACATTCCACCTTAAGTTTGAATTGTGGTTTGCTTTTGCTGCTGGAGCTCCATGTGCTTCCTTTAAACCACCAAACAGCTCCCGAGCGCAGCCGCAGCTGCAGCTCACCGCTCCCCACGGCGACGGTCACACGTGGAGATGAATTTCACCAGAGTGATGACTAGTGGGACTTTAACTTTAGGTTTCCCATAACATCACACCGCCGTGCTTCGCTGTGGGGTGAATCATCAGGTGATCTTACAGGTTTAACACTTTTATCTCCATGGTTAGCTCTTGATCCAATCCAACATGGCCGCCACAGCACAGCTGCTCATCGTTAGCAAACATGAAAGTCTCAAACTCAGTGGCTTTGACTGACGCTGAGCTGGGATTTCAGTTATTCACCAAACTTAAACGGCGGCCTGACTTTAATTCTCTTAGAAATCAGCTGATGATGTAATTTTATCATTTTTAGATTCATTTTTTCACATTTCTGCATCTTTGAGTCAAAAGAGAAAGTCCTTGATGCGGCGGTTCTTCGTGTTCCAGCAGTGTTTGGGTTTATTCAGGGGTGGGGTTTAGTTTTCATTAAACTAAATGGAAACTGAAAAAGAGCCAACCTTAACAGGTAAAATGATTTTTACATTGAATCTTTATTTACTTATTTATAAATAAAAACAAGTTGGGTTTTGTTTAAAAATCTGAAGCAAAAAACGAGAACACGTCATAAATCAGGTGAATCAGGAGTAAAAACACGTTGGAGCCCCCAGCCCCGTTTGATGCTACAATCGGATCCTGGTCCTTTCCTCCGGCTCAGGGATGAAGACGCTCCTCCTCCTCTGTAACTTGACCCAGATCTGAGGATCCCTACTCTCCTCCGTCGGCCTGATTTCAGCTCTTTGGGTAATAAAACCAGAGAATTGAGGTGAGCCAAGCCCGCCGCCTAGCTGTGCTTCTCTGTTGATTTTACATGCTGAGAGGAGGTTTTAAAACATGAACTCTTCTGGGATTCATCAGCTTTTGTCCATTTTTCTTTTTGATGTTCTTTCCTGCTGCAGCACATTTCCCAGCATTCCTCTTGAAGCGCTCCTCACTCTCAGCCGATGCACCACCACACAAAGGTGGCTACACCAGTGGCGAGGGAAACCTCTGGAGCATACATCCACCTCAGAAACACCATGAACAAAATGTTCAACGTCCACCAGTTTTCCTCCGTTTTTCCAAGGTCAGGTCACGGAGATCCGGGTCCAGGACGGAAAGCTCCTCTCTCCTCCCAGAAACACTCTCCTGCTCCTCTGGGAGGATCTGAGTGTGTTCCAGAGCAGGATAAAAATATGATCTCTTCAGGAAGTTCTGGAGGAAGGTGGCCAGGAGCTCTCCTAGAACCACCTCAGTTGACTCCTTTTGATGAGGAGGAGCAGCTCTCCAGAAGCCGAGTCCAGCCTCCCTACAGAGGAACAACAGATCAGAAACAGAACCTGAAAGTGTCTTCATCCGTGTTTGGGAATCACATGTTTGGAAAGTTTTAAGAAAAGCTTTGAAAGTCCTTTAGAAGGTCTAGAAAAGTGCTGATCAGGACAGTGGCGTGTCCAGATCTTTTAAAATGGGGTGGCCCAGGTGAGGCACAACTTTGTGCATGGGCGGCACCAATGGTTATGCTTTTTTTGTTTTACCCCCAAGCCTTATGTGGACAATGAAAAGCCTATTTAAAAGTAAATTAGTGTGTTAGCACCTGGGGTGGCCAATAAGATTCCAAGGGTGGCATGATGTGCTATCCCAGGCCACTCCTTGGACACGCCCCTGGATCAGGACCACTCTAAGGCGAAGACGGAGAAATCCAGACGGCTCTGAAATAAAAAGTGAATATTGAGAAATAACTTAAAAGCATTCCAAACTGAGAGGGAAGCAGACACTTCCTCTAATCAATGCAACGTGGGTTTGGGGGAGTTACGTAAAGATCTGGGCCAGGATGAGCCATCAGTGAAGATGAGGTTTAATCCTCAGATTAGAAGCGTGCGTCTATGGGAGCTGGCAGTTCCAGCCCAGTGGAGAAGCCCCACGGGCCTGAGAATCACACCAGGAGAACAGCAACCGCTGGGCTTGGATCGGGTCTGAGTTTTCACCTTTTTAAACATGAGCTCTGACAAAATGACTGTGATGAAAACAAATCCTCGCAGGCCAAAACGTCTGTTTTCTCTGCAGACCTTTCATTCTTCAGCGGAAGCTTTGTCCTGCTCTAGTGAAACACAACATTATCGGTGAACAGTTGCTGTTTGTGAACAAACGTTTGAAGCTGTTAGAACGTTTACATGTATGACATCATTACACCGCATGGCCACGGGGAGGCGCTGTTTGGCTGTTCGGATGTCTCCCAAACAACAGAAATGTTCCCTGTTTTCAAACAGTGACCAACAACACACGCCAGGGTTCACTCACTGGCAACGTTTATAATCTATTGTGTAAACCTCTGCGGTGCTAGAAGGTTTATTTAAAACAGGTGAACAGAAATAAAAGAAATGCATTTATGAAATTTGCTGGTGAAGGTTCTCAGTCATCCAGGTCATGATAATGTTTTACCCAAAAGTAGTTTCTGCTCGTTAAACGACAACAGACAGCTACAGCTTATAAGCCGGACTCTCCCGTATTCCAGTCCGAAGTGACAAAGCTCCTCGGATGAGAAGCGAATCGTCTTCAAGAAACCAAAGAAGTCCAGCTGCCTTCATTTGAACCCTTTTGGATTATTTATGAAATTCACTGAAACTTAAATAAAGAACAAGTGGTAAATGGCCTGTTTTTGTACAGCACCTTCTTAGGGTTCCACAACCCCCCAAAGCGCTTCACAACACAATCAGTCATTCACACACTGGTGGTGATGAGCTACATCATAGCTACTGCCCTGGGGCGCACTAGAGGCGAGGCTGCTGATCACAGGTCCCTCCGACCACCACCAGCAGCCAAGGTGGGTTAAGGGTCTTGCCCAAGGGCACAACAGCAGCGTGCTCTGGTCAGACAAGACAAAAATACTTTTTGGTTTATTTCTGCTAAGAGTTTATCTGTAGGTGTTGTTTTTTTAGCCCTTTTTCTGTGAAATGTTACATTGTGTTTGCTTGGCCTATATCTTTAAAGAGCAAGTCACCCCCAAATCTACTTTTTTTTCTGATAAACTATATAAATGTGTGTCTAATCGTGCTGCAGACACGTGTAGTCAATAGATAGTTTTGTACTTCAGTGCATTTTAGTTAAAATTTTGATTTTATGTCTAAAACTGTCAGTGTCGTGCCGTTGTCAGGTAAAAACTCTGCACTGCATCTTAATTTAAATCTGCCATCGCTATTGGCTAAGAGGTACCCTAGAACATTAGCTGGTACCATATGATGTCACAATGTCGTTGTGAGCCTGTGTGTATTTGTTAGCGGCTCCGCCCTCTCGGTCTGCTAGGCAACAGCATTTGTTGCATGTTTCTAACAGGAAGTGGGACTTGAGTAAGAATCTGGTAGGAAGTGACTTGCTCTTTAAGATGTTTTTATTCCTCTCCATAGCCGTACTGTTTTATTTTCCCTTTATCTGAGTTTCTCTGAGTTCATTTTGCACGTTGGAGCTATTCAGTTTGGCACGTGTGTCTTGTGAGGATGGGTTTAGTGTATTCAGGAACATTTGCACGACTCCAGTTTGTGCAGAACTCAGTGGCTAGGTTCCTGACAGGTTCTAGATGTCGAGATCACATTACACCAGTGCTGCCTGCTCTGCACTGGCTCCCGGTGAAATTCCGAGCTAAATTTAAAATCTTAACTTTTGTTTATAAAGCCCTCCAGGGCAGTACCCCGTCCTACATTACTGCACTTTTGCACAGGTATGCTCCATCTCGGTCTCTTCGCTCAGCCGAGCAGGAACTTCTGGTGGTCCCCCGGTCGAAATATCGATCGAGGGGTTATCGTGCATTTTCTGTTTTGGCTCCAACTATGTGGAATGAATTGCCATTGAGCATTAGGCAGGCACCGTCCCTTCCAGTCTTTAAGTCTCGTCTGAAGACTCGTTTTTATTTGATTGCATTTCAGCGCTAGGGTTCTTTAAATTGCCCTGACATTATGGTTTTACTTCTTCTTCTTTTTGATCAGGATGCTTGATTTTATTTTGTCCACCATTTGTTTTTAATTGATTAGTCTTATTCCATTGTTTCTCTGTTTTTGTAATATTGTTTGCTTGATATTTTATGATTTTATGTTTTTATCTTGCTTTTATGCCCAGGTACTGGGAATGTTTGTATGATGATGCTGTTCAGCACCTTGGGCTTCTGATAAAGTTGTGGAAGGTGCTCTACAAATTGAATTGAATTGAATTGAATTTGTATGAGTGAATGTTTTATTTGGAGGCTTTTGTCATGAAGTTAGAATTAGTCTGGTGGCTCTTTGTGGATTCTTTATTGTTCTGCTGCTTTGTGTCTCTGTGTGATGTCCTGGATCTAGTTCCACTGTCTTTGATTTTGTCTCTGTAGTCATAAAGTTTCTCCTTTAAGTACATGTTTATGATTATAGTCATGCTTTTTGCATCATTCTGAGTCTTTTTCACATCAATTAAGTCACATGTAGTTGGGTTTTGGGATTTTATAAGACTTTACTACTTTTCTTAGCAGGTGTTCTAAGCAGGGTGAATTAGTCTGATCACGATGGATGTCCAAACGTGGTTTTAAAACTACTTATTTGTACTTTATTCTCTTTAAACTGGGATCAGTATAGTTTAACTGGTGAAAATTCATTTTTATTTACATTTATTTCCACTGAGCACGGTGGAGGCGGAACGTGAACCCGCACGGCGCGTGGCAGTAGGACGCAATAAAAGGGCGCGTGGCGCGCACGCTACTCGCCTTCGCTCAGTCCAGTCTCAGCCTCTCGGCGGCCGCCTCGTTCCCGTGCCTCCAGCCGCGAAGAAAACGGCCCGCTCTGCTCCACTCCGCTTCGGTTCCGTCCCGGTTCTGTATGAGCAGTACGCCACAGACTTAAATCCCGAAGAGGAAGGCCAGCGCGAGCACCAGCAGGAGAGCAGCTCGTGAGCTAGCAGCAGGCAGAGATGGTCACGTCCGCACCGGGAGTCCTCCTGCTGCTAATGTGTCTCCGGCACTGCGGGAACGTCCACGGTGAGTGAAGGCTCCGTTGAACGCGTGTGTTCGGTTCGTTTCCGTGTTCCGTTTGTGTCGAGCGGACCGTGTTCAGCAGGGTTAGCTAACCGAGCTGGTACACCTGCTCCGTCCGCTCCTGGAAGGAGTGACCGTGTTTGGCTGCTCCTGGACGGGTTCCTTAGCTCTGCCGCCCCGACCTAAATCACATTCGGCTCGGTGTCTTCGCTCCGAGCCGATCTGGGCTTGAGAATCATTCCCCTGGGTTTTATTTCATCACTTTTTCTGCATCCGTGTTTATTAAAATGACTGATAACGGGGCGCGGAGCCCCCGGCGGTGTCTCGTTAACTCTCTACTTGTTCATTTGGCTAATTAGCTTCCAGCTTTAAATGTTCCGAGTTTCCATCCACGGTTTCTCCTCCACCTCCGAGCCCTGTCTGCCTCTGGGGCTGGGGAGGTATTTATTTATTTATTTATTCCTGGGGTAAAACGCCCAGGAATGGAGAGCTGTAGCAGGGGGGCTAACTGGGGGTAATATGTGAAAACCGGATTAAAAGTGGGGGTAGTTCGCAGCTTTTTGGTTCGGCTGGAGGCAGCTGCAGCTGGGGGAGTGGGCACGGCCTCATTATGAGCGGAGTGGTCATGGTTGGCGTCTGACAGCGAACATGGAAGTAAAACTTCACCTTCTCTTCTGTCCCAAACCGTTGATTTAATGACCGTAGTCCCGTCAGTGGTTCATCCTGCATGTTTTAATTGTTTTCATGCTCAAACGCTCCTCATTGAACCTGATTAGTCTGATCTGCAAGCTTAATTGAAACCAGGTGTGCTGGGCTGAAAGTGCTTCAGTGGCCAGAACTGGACACCACAGCCTAAAGCTATGTTAATGTTACCAACTCGTGTGATGCTTCCCAGTTTCAGCAGCTCATAAGGCTCTGCAGGAGTCTGTTGATCACCTGCCTATTAAAACCAGCTGTGTTGGAGCAGAGAGGCAACAAAAACATGCTGGTTAGGGTACCTCCAGGACCTGGATCGGGTTCTCTGCTCCAGAACAAGGCCTGTGGCCACCAGTTCTGACCGAATCGATCCAGCAGTGGTTCAGAGTGATCTACTGATGTTTCATTATAATTTCAGTCCTTTGGTTACTGCATGTCCAGTTATTTTTGGTGGATCTTGTGATCACAGTTTCAGATTTCCACCTGACCCGTATTATTGGAAGGTGCTGGTTGTTTTTGCTGTTAGTCCTCCACTAAGCGACGGTCGGCCTGCTTTTCTGAGTAGAAGGAACATTTTCTCCAAACTGAGGTTGTTCAGACCCATCGACAGAAATGGTGTGTACACCATCCAGCTTGAATCATAGATGACTGTTTGTCGACTAGCCGTGGTGATGGTGTGGATTAGAGTCCAGAGGTTAAACGGTTGTAGATGTTAATCCAATAACTACCTTCTGAGGTTGTTCCTGAGACCAGATGCTGACTGTATCTGCGTGTTTCTTGTATTATGTAGATGTGTAGTGAAACTTGGTTGCAGACTAATGTTTGTATGGATCTCCTTGGTTTCTCCCAGATTCCCAGCCGTCGTTGCAGCTTCTCGGAGCTGCTGATCCACACGGCCAAGCAACAACCTTTTCCCTCTGAGCCGGCTCCAAACACTCGGCTGAGATTCTTTCAGACGACCGGAGCTAACTGTCATGCAAATGAGGGCCAGCCTGATTAAAATGGATGTAGATTGTTCTCCTCCGTGGTTACTGTGATGCTGTTGGACCTAGATCCGTGGTTCTGGGAGTGGGCGGTGTGTGGGGGTGCCCTGGTTCTCCAACTGGGTGGGTGGGTGGAGGAACATACTGCAAACGTTTGTAATCGGGGCAAATAGTGTAATTGGGATGTGTTCAAATCAGCTGTTTCTGCTTCATGTTTGGACCTGAGGCTGCTAATCTGACCTGATGGGATGGATCGGTTTCTTTCTGCTCGTGGTGATTAAGCTGTTATTGGTGTCTGGATGCTAAACGAGCAGAAAGGTTGTTTCAGAACGGACAGAGTAAAGCTTCATATGGACACTAGAAACTGAGTCAGACTCTGCCAGGAAACCAGAACACACCTGTACAGGTGCGCTTGCTGAGGTCTGCTGCGCCAACTTGTTTCTGGACAGGAAGTTGAGGGTTTGTGTGGAGCTGTGGCTCTGTGGGGGGGTGCAATGAGAAGGAAAACTGTCAAAAACCAGGCAGGAAATTTTATTCTAAGCAGATTTAAAGAGAACCCTGTAGATTAAATAATCTGCAGCATAACGCTCCTCTGGTCGGGTGAGACCAGGTCACATGATCAGAACTCGTGCTGCTGCTTCCTGAAATTCAGACTCTGAAGACTAAGTTGGTTTTTGTTTGGATGAAAATGTTTGAGCTTGAATCGGTGACTTTGTACGTTTGTGACCCAACAGCTGACTCGGGTAAACGGGTCCGAGTCATTTTAAACATGTTTAAGGAGTGAACACCCTCTGTTTGGGGAAATGGGTTAGTCTTCAGGTCGGAGTGCAGCCAAAACTAAAGCGGACTTCCTGTTTCTGAACGGCTTCATTCAATTTTCAGACTTTTTAGCATTTCTGCAAAATTAGCTGTTCTGCGTCTGCTGATGCCATCTGAGCGGTTTAATCAGGAGCACTTCATCAGGTGGACTAGAAACGGCGTTCTGAGGGTAGCTGCGGGATGTTGTGGATTTAAACTGGAGGAGCTTGTATTTGCTGCTGCGGGATTAGAGCGAGTTTCTGACTAACTTGTGTTCCAGCGACGGCACGCTCTTAAAAGTGAAGCTCAAAGGCTTTTCCCTTTTCCCTCGAGTCTTTTAAACGGAGTTTTGATTTTGCTCCACTGACAAAGTTAAGCTAAAATAAGTTGGTCTTGGCTAACTAGGACTAGTTACTGAGCAGGTAAACAAATCCACAAATGTCATCTTGGTAGCTCGATCTGCTGCAGAAAGGTTTCAAGCCATAAACGTGTTTTTATATCCGGTGCAGTTTTATCCACACCACCTATGAAGTCCAAAGCTCCTAGAGGAGCTGCTGACCCATGTTAGAGGGCTTCTCACTGGTCCGGGGGCCACTGTAGAGTCCTGAAAACCAGTCTGGGGCGTTTGGCCCTGAGCAGGAACGCTCCCCACCTGGAGCAGCCTCAAGGTCGGAGTGGTTTTAGCAACGAGGCGTTTTTATCTTCAGCATGAGCTGCTGCAGGAACGTTCTCAAGGATCCACCAACACGTCGGTGGTTCAGGGTTTTTGTAGCAACTGTCGGGTCCTTTTACAACCGAGATTAACTTATTAGTTTCATTAATAACGAGTTGGGGTTGAATCACAGTAACTGGTGAGGTTTTCATGTTTCAGGTGAATAAACATTTATTATTGGGTTGTTTTGCTTTTAAACGTCACTGTCATATAAACATTCATGCATCTGTTCAAGAAAACGAGAATACACAGTTTAAATCCGGTCAGATTCTGGTTTGTCTGCACATCTTGGATTTGATGCCAAAGGAGGAGACTTTACCCTTTAAGGCATGTGCACATTGATCTTAACGTTAACCCTCCCGCTGTCTTCAAGGGTGACCCCACCAGGAAAGTTGACCACTGAGTGAAGTTTACAGTCTGAGGCTGTGAACTGAGCAGAGTTGATCAGAAGGGTACAGGTTTAGGTTTGCTGTGAAACCACAGTATCATGTAGTTTTGTCCAGTAAGAAAATTATTTGTGTTTAATGACTGAATCTGGTTCCTGCAGGTACGAAGACTGAATGTGAAGCAAACCAGTTCCAGTGTGGGAACGGCCGCTGCATCCCGTCGGTGTGGACGTGTGACGGAGACCTGGACTGCACGGACGGCAGCGATGAGGGTTCCTGTGGTGAGAACTCTCAAACACCAGCATGGGCGAACAGACTCCATCTTTAAACGGTTAAATGTTCTTAGAGGCACCGATTCTGACAGGAAACCTGGTTTTTAGTGTGGTTAACGCTGATCCGGTCACCAGGAGCCCGTTGGGGCTGTTGCCTCCGTAGAGCGGTATCCTCACCCAGATGCATGATCAGACTTCAGGTCTGATCTATACTTAAGGCCCATTACTAAATGATCAATTTTCCTTCATAAACTTATTTAATCAACCTCTTAAATGTTGTAAAGTTTAGTCTGAAGAACAACAAACGGTTGGTTCCATCTAGGGTTGTCACGATACTAAAATTTCAAACTCTATTCGATACTGGGGGAAAAAACTCGATACTCTATTTCGATACTACTCGATACTCTATTTCGATACTACTTAAAAACACCAATTTATTGAACAAGTTTATTTTCCTCAATTTATATTGTAAAAATTAAATGTTAAGAATTAAGTGTATTAAGTGCTTAAACCTTTCAAGTATCAGCATTTTTTAAAACGTGCGTACAAAAACTGGCGAAAGTTTAAATCATGAATTGTCTCACTATATATACACTATTTGCAGAGTGATGTTTTGCTGCTTAAACTCTGTTTAAGGTGCATTTTTGTCATAAGATGTAATGCCGTATGTTTTGTTCTGTACTTTTGAACAACTCTGCTGGTCAATAAAGGGAGAAAACTAATTTCTCCACAGTAGGACAAAGGTACATCTACCGGTAATCTTAATAAAAACAGATTGGCGCACGGCAGTGACGTCATTAAAAGTGCCGGTTAGATTAGCCGCGGCTAGTCTGTTCACGCCTAGAAATCCCAGACCCGCTCCAAACGAACAGGGGAATCGCGTTAATGATTCCTAACAAAACCTTTCGACATTGAGATGTTTTGGTGCAGATAATGTCTTAAGTCGAGGCTGCACCATGGGTGCCCGTCCGCACCCGTTATATGGATATACACTGATGGCGATTCGCCGATGGATCTAAATACCCCGGGGAATCCAAGTAGCACCTAAGTTGTCAGCGTGAGTAAACAAACGTACTGCATGCTAGAAATTAAGTCCGGGTTGCAATAAACAGGAGTTTCCTTTAAGCACATAAGCGTGAATATACAACTACGTGTCGGACTAATTAAGTTGGGCTGTGAAGCGCCTCCCAAATTGGCTGTTTTTGTTTATTTATTTGGCAGACAAAACTTGGATCGGAGACAACTCGCGTGGGAAATTACAATGTAGCCATGCGGCGTCTTCTCCTTCTGTTTGTCTGGGAGGCGGAGGCTGCTTTACGGCATCTGGCTGTCGTGCGTGTCGGTGTACTTGAAGAAGGCTGTGTATAATAGTCCATAATATCGATACCACAGGGATGGAATATCTCATTTAGATACCACTATTAGCATCGATTTATATCTAGGTATCGATTTTTTTTGACGACACTAGTTCCATCTTTCTGCTGGTTTAGTGTCTGCTCCCATCATGGCCACGCAGGCTAGGGCTAAGGGTCATGGGGTGGTCTGCATCTTTTTGAGGCTCCTAAACTTATTTGGTACCAAACCTGATCAAATCGGGTCCCCGTTATGTACATCGGCTGTTAGGGCTGGGCGATGTGACGATTTTAGACCGTTTTACGATCTACACATCTGACGGTCTGTCATTTTTGAGAGACCGTTTTATCACGATTCACAGCTCTGCTGTTGAATTTCTGCCTCTGAATGAAAAGGGAACTTATCTCAGGCGAATGACACGCCTTTGTTTGACCCTTAACCAATCAGAGTGAGTCATAGTAATATATTAGTGCCCCGCTTGTTTTCACCTGTGTGTGAACAAACATGGCTTCGGCCGCGGCTGAGCGACAACGAGGTTTTCGTTCCGAAGAGGAACGCAGGGTTTCCTTAGCGCACGGCGCTAACAACTTAGTGACGTGACATGTCTCGGAGAAAGCGTAAAAACACGTTGGACGCTTCTTCTGAAGCAGGAAAATAACACCGCCTCTTAAGCAGAGCACGACGCCGCCTCGTCCACCCTCTGCCGAGCCGGTGTCGGTACCGGACTGAGCTCGGTCACTGGGTCATTGGAGCTGCCCTGTGACTGCCTGATGGAAAACCAGCGGGTTTCATCAGACTCGTAGTTTCTTGTTTTTGTTGGGGACCCACTGTATTTTACCGCTCCCTCCTGCAGTCTTCCCCTATTAACATTTAAAATGATTCTGTAAACTCCGTGTATCAATAGAAACAATCTCTGCCTCTGCCAGCTGCAGTAAATGTAGTTTCCAAATAATAAGAGGTGCACTCATCTGTGTATCTCCTTTGATCCGCATTAGTGATGTTCTCAGCACCAGAACAGTGAAGCAAAGAGAGATTCCTGAGTTTGTTAGTAATTTTATTTATTAGGTGCATCTAACCTGTCCTATTTTTCTCTGAAATGAGATCAAATCAGTGCTTCTATGGGTTGTCTCCACTGGAAAATTTTACTTTATTTAGAGACTTGTTGCAGAAAATATTCAGAATGCGCAGTTATTTGCTACCACAGGCGATCTCTGGTCCAGCCGCACATCAGAGCCATATTTGAGCTTAACTATCCACTACATGAGCAACTGGGAGCTACATAGTATTTTGAACAAGTTAATGTTTGCACAATATGTTTGCAATTGACATGTTTGCACTTTAAATATGTTTATGATTTTAATTTATGTTAAGTTACTTGAAAAATGAGAAACAGATTTTTGTAATTGTTTCTCTCAGGGCTTTTATCATCTCTGGTGTGAGTTTAAAATATAAGTGTGTTAGCACTGTGCTGATTATCCCTAATATGAATAAATGTTTATTTATTCAATGTTTCTCTTTAATACGCAATTGAAGTTATGCTATTCATGGATAAAAAAAATCGTGATAAAATCGAAACCGTGCTAAAATATTGGAAAAATCGTGATATTCTATTTTTGCCATATCGCCCAGCCCTATCGGCTGTTACTGATGACGTTTTAGCTAACCGGTGAGGTCCGTCAGCTGACCTGTATGCGTTGGCATCGGCATCATAAATGCCACATCCGTTCTGTTACCATTTATCCAAACGGGCCTAAACCACCTGTTGGGTCAGAAACGGCAGCGAAGAGCTGCTGATCTCGTCTTCATCTGAACACTATTAATAATTAAAGCTGATGCAAAACAATAAATGAACCGGAGTTTCTGTTTAGCTTCGTTTTGGTTTCCCAGTCTTCCGCTCCACGCTCACCATGAACGATGCTGCCCGCTTTTCCTCTTCTAAGGAAAATCAGATTTATTTTTTCATTAAAGTCGAAGACGGATTAAAAATTGGATCCGATCGTGGGACGCTGCATATTTAAAACTCTTCCCAACTAAAGGTTAACTAGAACATCCCGGTTGGCCCCTCCCCCCAACACACGGATGTCACCGGAGGGTCAGGAGCCCCGTGACGGCTGGGCCCCAGCTCCAGCCTTCCCACAATCCTGCGAGACAATGACCTGGTGTGAAGGCGGCTCGTAGAGCAGAGCTAAAAATAGACTCCGAGTCGGTGTCCAACATTTCCATCTATCTGGGTCACTGGATAAAAGCAGCGAGGCAGGAAAGACCAACGGAGGAGGCGGTGAGAGGGAACGTTCTTCAACAGAACCTCTAATCTGAGATTTGAGAGTAAATGTTTGCTTTTATGTCAGAACCGACAAGGATCTGGATTATTTATGGTGATGTCATCAGCAGCACAGACCTGCCAATACGTGGACACATTTTTATAAAACACCGGGAGGCCCAGAGTGATGTGGAGGACTTTACCAGGTAGATGTGGTCACCAAACTGGGGTTTAGAGACTGTGCTACTGGTGTTGTTGGGACAGAAGGGGACGCCCCGACGAGCCGCGGCTAGCAGTTAAACTCGGCTGAACAGCGCGGTTATCTGGGAAGATGTTTCTTTTTGATGTTGGTGCACAACTGATGGCAGCTGGAAGTGCCCAGAGTAGCAGTGAGCTAGCGTTAGCCTCACTTCTGCTAAGTCTTCGCATGGTGCAGCGTCCCATTTAGACCATCAGATCCATTATGTACATCTGAGGCGTTTTTATCCGTCTCAACGGGTTTAAAAACCTTAAATCTTCAAGTATTTAAGGCTTTGAACGTGCTTTAAAGTCGTTAAACCACCTGACGTTGACAACCTGTGATGTGTTGGTGTGTTTTTCATAATCCCAGTTTGGATTATTCCTGTATAAACCCGAGTCTGTAAAACCAGTCACCCAGTTTTGTTAATGGTGTGGCTCATGGGTCCTAACTGGGTTTTGATGGGATGTTCTAAACACGAGGAGACGGCGGCGGCGTGGTTTAGTAATCTGCAGATGTGTTCCTCTGATTCCAGTTCAGAAGACGTGCGCCGAGGTGGACTTCGTGTGTCGCAGCGGTCAGTGTGTCCCGAAGCGATGGCACTGCGACGGAGAACCGGACTGCGAGGACGGGTCTGACGAGAGCCTAGAAATCTGCCGTAAGTAAAACACCTGAAGTTTCCATCGGTTTCTAATTGACCCTCTAAGCTCCTGGATGATGCCCACATATGTCAGGCTCCAGGTCTGTGTGGACCAGTGAGCTCTTACTGGTGTCTTGACTGTGGTGACTGCATGCAGCAGAAACGGGAACCAGTTCCTGGCGGGCTGAATAGGAAGTGAGGGTTTATTCTTGAGGCTGCGCTGTCGCTGTGACGAGTTCTTGCAGCTCTCTGGTTTCTGCTTCAGTCCGGCAACGCAGCAGATCATTAAAAAGGTACCAGAGAAAAACGGTCCTGCTGTCGGAACAAAACGCTGCTGTAGCTGCTCACGGGTCACGCCGAGCTTCTGCTACAAGAGCAGCGGAGTGATGCAGAAGTCGGCAGAAAGTCTGGAACTACCGGGTGCTTACGGGAACTCAGACGATCATCGGAGGATTCGGGATCCTGGAGAGGTCCCCCTGTGGGGGTCACCCAGGACTTGTGACCAGTCTGCATAAACGGCTCCAGCTGTGAGATGTGATAATGAAACCTTTGTTCTGGGTCTGAAGAGCTGATGTGGAGGTCGAGTTCTGGTTTTTAATCCAGTTGGTCAGATGCCTCATCTTAACCCGACCACGAGTCACGTCCACAGCTTCTGATCATTCTCTCTGTCTGTCTCTCTGTCTGTCTCTCTGTCTGTCTCTCTGTCTGTCTCTCTGTCTGTCTCTCTGTCTGTCTCTCTGTCTGTCTCTCTGTCTGTCTCTCTGTCTGTCTCTCTGTCTGTCTCGCTGTCTGTCTCGCTGTCTGTCGCTCTCTCTCGCTGTCTGTCGCTCTGTCTGTCGCTCTGTCTGTCGCTCTGTCTCGTTACTTTTAATGGATGTCAACTAGGGCTGGCCAATGAATCAAATTTATCGTCATCGACATTTTTGACTCTTGGAGATAAATTCTCATGTCGATAAATTAGATAATAAATGAATAGATGTGTGTTGGTTGGCAACATCATGTCCCTTTAAGAAGCTGTACGACCTTGACATGATAAATGTGAAAGCCCCATCTAGTGGACAACTTTTGTTTCTGCGCATACCCGTAGTTATCGTTCATTTATCGTTATCGATGTGAAATCCTCAACATATCGTGATATTGACTTAAGGCCCTATCGCCCGCCCAGCCCTGATGTCAACAAAATCTAATGTTCCATAAAAATATGGATTATTATTCAACCTTTAATCCAGGAAGCAACAATGATTTGACACAAGGGCAAAACAAGTTTAAAAATCCATTTATTACTTTATTTCTACAACTGATAAAGGTAAACATTCATTATATAATGTAACCTATGAAGTGAAATCATTGGATGAGACAAAAATAGATTATTTTTCCTAGGAGTCTTCTGCGGATAATAATAAAAATAATGATAGCCTTTATTGTCATGGTACAGGATGCAACGAAATTGGAGTCAGGAGTCAGGAAAGAGGATAGTCAGGAGATGGAACGTTGTTATGGCGGTGACTAACGGCGTGTTTTGGCTTGGAAAGCAGACGATTAACCTTCAGCACACTGAAGCTGGCTGTGGACCGTGTGCTCTTCTGGTGACCTTACAAAGTGACGGTGGCACAGGAGTTAGGTGCTCGCCCTGTAATCAGAAGGTTGCAGGTTCGAGTCTCAGTCTGTCGCTGTCGTTGTGTCCTTGGGCAAGACACTTAACCCACGTTGCCTGCTGGTGGTGGTCGGAGGGACCGGTGGCGCCTGTGCTCAGCAGCCTCGCCTCAGTCCACCACAGGGCAGCTGTGGCTACATTGTAGCTCATCCCCACCAGTGTGTGAATGTGTGTGTGAATGGGTGAATGACTGATTGTGTTGTAAAGCGCCTTGGGGGGTTCCAGGACTCTAGAAGGTGCTATATCAAATACAGACCATTTACATAAAGAACATTCCTCCATCAGCAGGTCATAAAGTGAAACTCAACTGAAAGAGCCTGAAATTCCCTTTTAGCTGAAGGCTGGACGGACCGTATGATGAACCCTTTCCCTGCGAGCGGTGACTGAAGCGGGTTTCATCTCTGACCCGTTCCTCTGCTCCAACGTTAATGATCCCGTGTTCTGTTTCCAGCCATGATTCTGTAAGCTTCACCTGTGAAACTAGTTTTCTAAAAGGCGGCAGTGATCTCTGGGTTTGTGTAACGCAGACATGAGGACGTGCCGAGTGAACGAGTTCAGCTGTGGACCAGGAACCACTCAGTGTATTCCCATCCTCTGGAAGTGTGACGGAGAAAAGGACTGCGACAACGGCGAGGATGAAGTCGGCTGTGGTAGGTGGAAACTGTTTTTTGCAGCCCTGTGTGGATGAAAACGCCGATCCTGTGGCCTGCTGGAACATGTCGGTAGTCATTTACCCTGATCCCGTTTGTCCTGAGGCACTTCAGGAAAACCTGCTCTGTCTCAGGGAGGATTCTCTCAAAGCTCTGATAATCTGTCGCTGCTAGTTTTCCAGAGCTGCTTAGGAAACACTTGCTGTTAAAGCTGCGCGAGTCCGCGTCCTCGCGCTCTTCTCGTGTCTCCTGGTAACAGACGGTTCTGATTTGGACACTGACCTGCGAGTCATCTTCTCCCCACCCGTCCAGATAACATCACCTGTGCTGTGAATGAGTTCACCTGTGCGAGCGGTCGCTGCGTCTCGCAGAACTTCGTGTGCAACGGCGAGGACGACTGCGGGGATGCTTCTGACGAGGTGGAGTGTGAGCCGTCGTCCTGCGGGCCGTCGGAGTTCCAGTGTGGAAACGCGTCGTGCATCCCCGCCGGCTGGGTGTGTGACGACGATGTCGACTGCCAGGTAAGGTGGGGGGGGGTGGGGGTGGAGGAGGTCTTAGGCTTCCTGTAACTGAAGCTTTAAGAATGATCTCTGTAGTAAAACTGCCGTCTGGGTGTGCTGCCTAAAGAAACGCAGCAGAATGAGCCTACACACGTTAAAATCTCTCGCCTGGCTTCCGTCCTCCTGAAGGATCAGTCCGACGAGTCTCCGTCTCGCTGCGGCCGCCATCCCACGCCGCCGGCCAAGTGTTCTCCCAGCGAGATGCAGTGCAGCTCCGGAGAGTGCATTCACAAAAAGTGGAGGTGCGATGGAGACCCCGACTGCAAGGATGGCAGCGACGAGGCCAATTGTCGTACGTACACGCGCCGTTCACACCTTCTGATCCTGAAACTGCAGACTGACTCCCAGAGCCTCCTGTCTCCCCTGCAGCTGCACAAACCTGCGGGTCGGATCAGTTCAAGTGTGACGACGGAAGCTGCGTCCTGGGCAGCCAGCAGTGCAACGGCCTCCGGGACTGCGCCGACGGGTCGGACGAAACCGGCTGCAAAAACGGTTTGTGCTGCTTGAATATTCTAAACCCAATTCTAGACCTGCGAGCGCTGTTCTGCCATGAGCTCAGTTTCCTGGAGGAATTTATTTGTTCAGTTGGAAAATAAAAAGCTGATGCTGGAGTCAGACTCGCCTTGGGCCACGTCTGCAACTGATGCTGAAGCTAACCCGAACACACGCAAGGGTCTCTAGTCCAGCGTTGTTCTGTGGGTCATTAATGGTGTCCATGTTGTGTCCAGTGACTCAGTGCAACGGGCCGGAGAAGTTTAAGTGCCGCAGCGGCGAGTGCATCGAGATGAGCAAAGTGTGCAACAAGGTGCGGGACTGTCCCGACTGGAGCGACGAGCCTCTGAAGGAGTGCAGTAAGTGTCTGGTCGGCCTGTGGGCGGGGGAAACTGATTCTATTCATCTAATGCGTCTGTGTTAAAGGATCCTAAACCTCCACTGGGTGCTGCAAACTGGTCCAGAAGGAAACCAGTAGATGTTCCTGCTGACGGGATTCTAAACCCACAGAATCTATTTGATCAAACTTTAATAGTCCGTTTTTTGTGAGTGGCTCGAAGAGCACTAGGAAAACGAGTCGGTGACTCGTCATGACTCGTTTTCCATATAGAAGTTGTTTCTGGAGGAACTTGTAAAATTCTGTAAATGATTAAAACGGATCCTACATCACTTGAACGTGTGCTCGCCACTTTAAATCCCTGAACGACTAAAATGCGGTTTTTATTCGTCTCAGATCTGAACGAGTGTCTCCTGAACAACGGCGGCTGCTCCCACATCTGCAAAGACATGGTGATCGGCTTCGAGTGCGACTGCACGCCCGGCCTGCAGCTCATCGACCACAAGACGTGCGGAGGTTTGGGGCTTTCTTTACTACGATGCAGATTTACCTGATGAACACACACGCACACACACACGCACGGACGTACGTTTGGATCAGATTGGAATCACTCTGGTCACTCGGTGACTGAACAGGAAGGATCGTTGGGATTTGCTCCTGATGAAAGCTTCACATCGAGCTGCTTTTCCCAACGAGAGCAGAAGTCTGGCGCCTGAAACTATCAGCTGAACCTTCTTGATGCTGGACATGAACGATGACTTGAAGTGGGTTTACGAGACATGTAGACATTAGCGCTGAACGGTTGTGATGCCACACGTGAACTGTGACTAACCGACTCCGCCGAAGCACTTGGGTTGTATAATGTCCACTTGGGAACTTGTATGGCGAACCTTTTGTAAGTTCACCCTGAACTCGATGTGCCGAGTTTAAATATTTTTCACATTTTTGTGATGAATCCTATTTTTACCCTGAGAAACGGACCTTCTGTCCTCTGGGACTCTTGTCCTTAAGATGCTAGCTTAAAAACGTCCACCAGCAGGGTGGATTTAGCTTCTGCTTCTGGGACGCTTTCAGAATAAAAGCAAATGTTTACCTTTTCCTGCGTCGCTCTGTACCTAGCTGACTCTGGTCTACCCTCAAACCCCCATCCGTCCCGGTCGGCACAGGCGGAGGAGAGCCAAACGCTGCCACACTTTTCTCCTCCGTCTGCACCAGCGGGAGGAGTCTGACGGGAGACCACGAGGTTCACGGTCGAGCTCAAAGATTCATCCTCGGGTTCAGCCGGACAGGCCTCAGGAGGGAAAAGCTCCAGGTCCTGATCCGATGGAGAAACGGTTTAATCCCACCCGCAACGCAGCAGCACTTCGTTAACTCCTAGTTGGCTTTCTGAATCTGGTCCAAACCGCTGTCCTAACGTTCCAACAGAAGATCAATACCAGTTAAAGCTTTAGCGTCCGATATTCAACAGGAATCCTGTCCAGGAGTCTTCTCAGAGGTTTAAGAACGTCGGTTTCTTGTGGAAATGCATCAGATCATCTTTGTTCCTCCTCTCCTCTAGATATAAATGAATGCATGAATCCTGGCATCTGCAGTCAGATCTGCATCAACCTGAAGGGAGGCTACAAGTGTGAATGTCACAACGGATACCAGATGGACCCGGCTACCGGCGTCTGCAAGGCTGTCGGTGAGTCTGGAACACAACAGGCACTCGCGTAGTTCTAAGTTGTTGTTGTTGTTTACTTTAAACCTCTGAACCCATAAGTAGCTCCAACGGCCGATGTAGGTTCCTCTGGTGTAGAGGATGCAGAAGATGAGACACATTAGCTCACATATGTCAGACACAAGGCCCGCGAGATAAATGTCAAAAATATATTAAAACTGGCCCGCTGGCCGATTTTACCGCAAAAACTTGGAACTCCCATGATGCTTTGCGGCGTTACCGCGGAGCCGACACGCCCACTCTGTTTTTTCCAGCGTCTGCTGCCGGTGTGCAGCTCCGCTGTCTCGGGCAAACTAAACACTCCTCTCACTCAGCGCCGAGTTCACTCAGCTATTTTCTGACGTTCAAGCCCAGAAACGGAGATTCTAGCCGCTCAGTAATGTGTTCAAGACTGAAAGAGTTTTCCAACTAAAGTCCAGACAGAGCTGATATAGCTCCAGCGAACAGCGACACGCTCAAACCAGCACGACTCTGTGGTTGCTGTCGTCGTGTTTCCTCCCCAACACACAACAACGCGGTCAAGCTGCTCAGACATGTTCATCAGCACAAACCTATGTGAGCTCCTGTTGTCATCTAATGTTGTCATTATTATGATGAAGATGAACAAAACAACAGGAGTCTCCTCCTCAGCTCAGATCAACCCCATGATGCAGGTATCTGGCTGGAACAGGTGAGCATCACAGTAAACCAGTGGAGCAAACTGAGCTTTAAATATGTTGGTTTTATGCTCTTTTTCTGCTCCAAAACATGAAAGTTAACAGGTGAGATGTTGCATTTTCATTTAAGATAACAGTATATTTTTATTTTGTTGTTGGCCCGTGAGAAAATATTTAACCTACAGTAAACAGGAAGTGGAAAGGCTGCAGATAAATGACTAGAATAGAAAATCCCTTTATTGTTCCTCAGTGGGGAAAGCTAGACGTCACAGCAGCGATGACACGTATTACAGGAGAAAAAAAGGAGAATAAAAAATAAGAAAAATGAATAAACAAGAAAACATAAATCCTGAATAGATTTTAAAAATGCTGAATATACCACAAGTAATGAACACCACTGATGTGTTTTATTTAAAACTGACTTGCTCCTGTGTAATTTGGTTATTCCACATTCAGTGTTAATGCAGAAATAAGTTTGTTTCAAAATTTAAAGGTTCAAAATTGATTATGTTAAAGAAAATGTGCAAATTTGCCGTCACTTTTTAAAAAAATATTAAGTTTGGCCCTCGACTCCGTCCCAGAGTTTCATTTCGGCCCAGTGTGAGTTTGAGTTTGACACCCCTGCATTAGCTCCTGAAGAAAACTCCAGAGGAAAGTTGATCCTTTTCTGTTTTAGGATCAGTCCTCTTCATCGTAGCCTTGCTTCCTCAGGTTCAGTGTGCTGATTGGTCAGATTGCCAGGGGGCGGGGCTACTAGATGTAAATCCAGGAAGACTTTTTGTTCCGATCCTGAGCGATCTGATGAGACGTTGTAGACTGACCGGCACTCGAGTCGGTTTAACCCTTAAAATGCGGCAGACGTTTCCGCCGCTGTAGTCGTGTTTCCGCCCAAACCCGGGCCGCCGCACTCGCCCAGCTACCTTATCTGAGAACCTGTTGTGATCTCTAGGGAAGGAGCCGTGCCTGATCTTCACAAACCGTCGTGATATCCGCCGCCTGGGTCTGGAGAGGAAGGAGTACACGCAGCTCGTGGAGCAGCAGAGGAACGCCGTGGCTCTGGACGCAGACTTTAATCAGCAGACCATCTTCTGGGCCGACCTCGGTCAGAAGGCCATCTTCAGGTAAAGCGCCTGCTGCTGGTCTGCCGTGGCTCAGGATTAATGTAGGGTTAGGGTCACCTCCAGTGTGGAGCATGAGGTTCTGACCCTGTTGACACGGCGCCCACCAGGTAGATCACCTTTAGTGGTTCTGAGGCAGCCTCGCATCATGTTGAGGGTTTGGTTCCATTTTCAGCTCGGTTCTGGATAAACGAGGAGACGTCAGCAGCAACAAGAAGGTGATGGAGGTCCAGACGCCTGTGGGGATCGCCGTGGACTGGATCTATAAGAACTTGTACTGGTCGGACCTCGGCACCAAAACCATTTCAGTCGCCAACTTTAATGGAACCAAGCAGAAGGTTCTGTTCAGCAGAGACCTGAAGGAACCCGCTTCTATCGCCGTGGATCCACTCTCTGGGTGGGTGGAAGACCCGGTATTCATTTAAAGCTGGTTCTGATCCGACTGGATGAGTGAACAGTTGTTTGTGTTGGTTCTGCAGGTTTCTGTACTGGTCTGACTGGGGAGAGCCCGCTAAGATCGAGAAGTCCGGGATGAACGGAGTGGACCGACAGGTTCTGGTGGCGACGGACATCCAGTGGCCCAATGGCATCACGCTGGGTATGGACCCGATCAGAACCACGGCCCTACAGGAGTTTCAGACGGGTCTGAAGACGCTTCTTGTCTCTGCAGATCTGATCAAAGGCCGGCTGTACTGGGTGGACTCGAAGCTGCACATGCTCAGTAGCGTGGACCTGAACGGAGACAACAGGAAGCGGGTTCTCCAGTCTGCAGACTACCTGGCCCACCCCTTCGCTCTCACAGTCTTTGAGGTTCAGAAGCTTTGTTTTCTGGTTCCTGTGAAGGCCTCGCGGGGTTCTGGTTCAAATTCAAAAATACTTTATCAATCCCAGAGGGAAATAGATGCGTTGGGTTCTGAAAGGATGTTGGAATTTAACCCCAGACCACCAAACCGTCTAGTGCAGCAGACGTTTCACGTGGACGGTTTTACATCTGGAAAGGTTATTTCCTCCCGGGACGAGTCTTTGGTATCGGCCCCCAGAGGCCAAACCGGTTTGATTCTGTTGGAAACAGATTCTTGGCACGACGACTTTCTTATGAGACGAGGTGAAATGGTTAATTAAAAAAATGTCTTCAGTGGATTCGATCAAACTTTATAAAGAACGTGTAGATGACAGCGACCGGAGTGTTCCTCAGAAAAGTAAAATAACATGAGCGGCGTTAAAAACGGTTAAACTTTAACCTTGGGTGTAAAAAAGCTCAGGAAGAAAAGAAACTCTTAAAGAGCAAGTCACCCCCATTTCCTGAAACTATATAAATGTGTGTCTAGTCGTGCTGCAGACACGTGAAGTGAGTAGTTTTGCACTTTAGTGCATTTTAGTTAAAATTAATATTCTGCCTAAAACTGTCAGTTTTGTGCCGTCGTCGGGTAAAAACTCTGCACTGCATTTGAATTTAAATCTGCCATCGCTATTGGCTAAGAGGTACCCTAGAACGTTAGCTGGTACCAATCAAAGATACTTTATTAATCCCAGAGGGAAATTAGAGTTTCAGTACACACAATTCAGAGATCAGACACACATGGGCAAGACACATGACAAGAATTGGTGACTGTGGTCATTCACAACCCTGAGTCGCACTACCTTAATAGAGATAAGAGGGTAACATGAGGATTGGTTCAGGTGGAGGGAAAAAATGGCACTTCAGAGTTACCCTCCACCAGGAGGGCAGCTTTGCTCTGCAAAAAAACACCTCAGACAGATATGCAACAGACTTCAGTCATCACAACATAACATGAGACTCCAATAGGAAGGCGGGGGGGCTGGGCTGGGATCGTGTTTACCCCAACGAGAGCAGCCATCTACGGCACTCACCTACTGAACAGTCACAGGTGGGAGGGAGATCTTGGGAGAAGCGAAGAGCACAATGACTCCTACAGATTGATGACCTCGCCAGGCTGAAGCCCATCAATCCGAAGGCGGGGGGTAGGTCGGGTTTTCACAGCATCTGTATGCATTCCTTCGTGGGGGTTTTAGGCTACCAGGGCGTCAGATTTGTTTGGGTCAGGCTGAGATAATTTTCTTCTCTGCCTTCAGTCTTTAAACTGATCATTTCCAGTCCTTCAGTGAAGCCAATTTTGGGTTTTTTAATTTGTCCATACCGTCCAGTGACCCTCTCCGAGATGACACCCATTTTGCGCACTAATACCGGTATCGCAGCTAGAACATTGTCCAGCTTACGATTCACCTCGAGTAACATCCCAGTCTGTGAAGTCTCCACAGGGACGGTGCTTTCCGTGGGTGCAGGTCGCCCTCCAATCGCTCCAGTCTTCCCAAATTTCCAGAAAACCAGATATCCTCCCACTCCAATCAGGAGAAATCCAGTGATCGTCAGACCAAATATCCACACGTCTTCATCATCCTCAGTGGACAGCTGGGAGAGACATACGATCTTCCATTCCCTCCAGGAATCTAGCATATACCCCACCGGGTGTGTCCGCTGTGGGCATGTGGAAGCCCCCTGCTCCGTTCTCATTGTTGAAAAATCTTATCGTACCATATGATGTCACAATGTCATGAGCCTGTGTATTTGTTAGCGGCTCCGCCCTCTCGGTCTGCTAGGCAACAGCATTTGTTGCATTTTTCAAACAGGAAGTAATACTCTGGTAGGGGGTGACTTGCTCTTTAAAAATCCAAAAGCTAATTTAAAAAGACGAGTCTTAAAGTCGGTCAGCTCTTCGTGTTCCTGACACTTGGGTGGGGGCGTGGGGGTGGCGGACCAGGATTAACGTAGCAGCCGTTAAACATTCGCCACCAGTAACTTTGTTCATCGACCTGTTGGGTTTTCCTGAAGCTTTGCCATTTTCCTCTCCAGGACCGGGTCTTCTGGACCGACGGGGAGAATCAGGCCATCTACGGCGCCAACAAGTTCTCCGGTTCTGATGTGGTGACGCTGGCCAGCAACCTGAACGACCCGCAGGACGTCATAGTTTACCACGAGCTGATTCAGCTGTCAGGTGAGTCGAGCGGAGGACGGGATCGTTGATGCGGTTCTGGGGGAATCTTTTGGTCCTTGTGGGTTTTCAGTAATGTTTTAAAAGCTCCAGAACGGTTAATTCAGCCAGAACGTCTTACTCCTAATCTTAATCTGGGTTTTTCCTGCAGGAACCAACTGGTGCCGTGAAAAAGGTGAAAACGGCGGCTGCAGCTTCCTGTGTCTGCCGGCTCCACAGATCAACAAACACTCGCCCAAGTACACCTGTGTGTGTCCAGAGGGCCAGGAGCTGGCTGCTGACCGGCTTCGCTGCAGACCTGGTGAGTCCAGATGTGGAGCAACGGGTCAGGACCTGAACCTTCTGCTGCAGTCGGGTCTGCCTGACACCAAACAGTCAAGAGGTTTCTGGAGTTTGAACTCCAGGCTTTTATTTATTTTCAATGTCTTCGGTATTCATCGGCTCTTGTATTCTGATCATTACGGTAGCGTTCTGCAGGCTCATCTGTTACAGCGTATACAGGACGAGCTGCATCAGAACAAGAGCCTTGGTGACTCGTGGGGTTGCAGCGTCCATCCCTTACACGATGAATTCGGTTCAGACCCGGTGGCGTAAAGCGTCGACGTTTAACTTCATGGCTTATTTTATTGCTTTAGATTATTACGGTTAATCTTCTAAAGGAAGCTTTGTGTTTGGCGGGGTTAACATCTGTTAAGGATTTCAGCTGTTTCTGTAAATGAATCTGGAGTTCTAGCGTTTGGGTTGATTTTAACACGTTTCAGACGTTGAGTTGTGTTTGGGTCTAATTGGTGTGTGTGTGTGTGTGTGTGTGTGTGTGTGTAGGTCTGATGGAAGTGGCGGCTCTGCCCCCCTCCTGCCTCCTTTTCTCTGAGCTGGTAAAAGGTTGCTTAGGAATGCCGTCCTCTGCCTTTGTTGCATCGCGGCTTCGGTCCAGCTCGTTTCTGCGTTCCCATAGGTTAGCCTTTTAGAACTAGAGCGGCGTTGGCCAGAAACCGACGGCTGAATTCTCTCCTACCCGACTAATTGGACTGCAACTGCAGACCGAGACTCACTTTCACATTACTGGAGCGTCATCCTGACTGCTGCATCATCCTCGAGTCTCGGTGCCTCACTAGTCTCTCTCCGTGTTAACTCTGAAGTTCTCTGCAGACCTCATCTGTTTTTAATTTGGTGATCTCTTACATCTTTTAGTTATTTACATCACGTATGTAGGGCTGAGGCGCTGCAGCTTGTTTAAGTTATTTAAAATTAAAGATTTAATTGGGTGATGCCAAAACTGAGGCAGATGCTGTGCGCTTGGATCGATCGCCATCGACATGCTGAGAAGCCTCACACACACACACACTCCCACTTTGGCCCTCTAACTGGTAGAAACGTCAAACTGCTGCTCGTTCTGGTTCGTTTGCTTCTGTCTGCATCAGGATGAATGTTCCAGGTCAGTCCGAGACAAACAGGTGATTAACTCTGGTTAAGGATGAAATGGGGGAACCTGAACATGAATGGGTTTAATCCTGATCAGCCGTTCTGTGTTGACATCAAGACCAGCTGCTGCTGCTGCTGCTGCCGGTAGAAACCTGCATCCTGATGCTGCAGCAGGGGAACTCAGCAGTTACTTAATTGCATCTTTTCCAGCCTGCCTGGTGTGCAGAAGTGTCCCCCAGTGGGGGGTGCTGCAGCCTGACCCACCTCTAAACGCCGCAGACGTTTAGTTGCTCCTCCCGAGATCTGGTCCACGTTCGCAGGGAAGCCTTTTTCTGTTTGCAGATGAAATCTCGGACGCTTGTTTCTGAAGCTCCGCTCTCGGTTCTCTCTGACAGAATCCAAAGGTCCGTTAGAGGACGGTAGTAAGGCGCTGGTTCAGCCTCCTGCAGGTAAAGCCGTCGGACGCATGTTTGACCGTCCTGCGGTCAAACTGTCCTTTTTACTCGTGTCTCCTCTGGTTCTGAGATCTTCTAACCCTTTTCCTGTTTCCTGTCTAACGTCGTCGGGCTCCGCTGATCACGTCTGCTGTAATGTTTTATTACACAAGCAGAACTCGTTGATTCATCTGGTGTAAAATATCTTGGGATGATTTGGGGTTTAATCGAGTTTCAAACGGCAAACTTAATTTTTCTGCTGCTGCTATTTATTTATTTTATTTTTTACACATTTAGAAACACGCTGAGGTGTAACCACCTAGATGTTCTGATCCGAATCTAATCCTACGGATCAGAACCTCAAGGAGCTCAGACCTGCTTGACCTTTGACCGCGTGTTTAGGTCATGTGAAGCGGAAGGTGTCATGAGCATCAGAACACACGAGAGCAGCTCTGCTGCACCACCTAGTGGTAGAAACAGGAAGCCGGTTGTGGTTCAGCTTCCTGTTTGTATCTGAAGTGATTTACCGAGTATTTGGTCAGACTACACAAGTTAAATCCCTTAATCCAAGCTGCCCAGCAACACACCATTCCAACGGTTAACCCGGAAGCTCCGATTTAAAACGAATGGCTCTAAAATCTAAGAATATAATGTTTGTCGACACTGATGATGCAGTGACTCGGCCCGTTTTCACTCCTTCTCCTGACCTGACTGAGAGGAGTCTGAGCTGCAGGTCGACTTCCACACCGTTCATCAGAGACTTCTGTATCGATGGGAAAGTTTTCATCTGCTGAGGTACAAACTAGAAACCTCCATCCGACTTCAGGAACAGCGTCTGATCTCGTGTGGGACTGCTTTTCTGTTCAAGCCTTTAAAACAAAGCCAGGGTGGTATTTTTATTTCAAATGAGTCGGCGTGTTTTTTGGTTTTCCAGCGCCAGACCTTCTGGCCGTTGGACATCAGGTTTGCTCTGAAATGAATGACTGGTTTCTGTGTTTCAGAGGAGAACGTGAGCACGTCCATCCAGGTGAACTCCACAGCTAGAGGGTCTGCTGCCGCCTGGGCCATCCTGCCCGTCTGTGAGTCTTTTCTTTCTGTTTAGACTCACCCCTTCTTTCCACCGGAGCCATTAGACACGTTACTGCAGCAGCACGTCTTGCTCGCCTAAGCCACTGCTTGGCCCTTCCCACGAGACGCGAAGCATCAGGGGAGCAGCTGTCACCGACCGAGCACGAAGTCACACGAGTGTTTTTATGTTCTGTCCGTTTTATAATCGCCAATACGGACCTGAAATACAAAGGAGACCGCTAGCTAGGTGATAACTTCTCACGGGGCCGCACAGTTAGTAACCTTTTTTTTTTTAAGTAAAGTAACTGGAAGGCAGTACGTTCTTTATTCTGAAAATCTCGGGAGCTTCTCTTAATTTCCGCGTCCGATTTCCTGTCTTTCTTTCCCCACAAATGTCGAACTTGACCCGTTTCAGAGGCGTTGCGCGTAGACAATAGAACCGGTGCGTAAGGGCTGCGACATGCTGCTCCTGAGACGCGGCCGACTCGCGCTGCTGACGGCTCCGGTTACTGCAGCAGCAGCTATGACGTGCTGCTGCTGCAGTAACGTGCTGCCGACGGCTCCGGTCGAAAGAAGGGGTAAGAGCTTCAGAAGCTGCAGCTCTGATCAGTTGTGCTCCGACTGCAGTGCTGCTGGCGATGGCGGGAGCAGGAGGATACCTGATGTGGAGAAACTGGCAGCTCAGGAACCAGAAAAGCATGAACTTTGATAACCCCGTCTACCTGAAAACCACAGAAGAAGACCTCAACATCGACATCACTCGACACGGCGCCAACGTGGGACACACCTACCCGGCAGTGAGTACTGACCCAGGATCAGACTGTTGCCTCCCTCACCTTGTGGCCCATTTTAATCCCTTGCAGTGTTGGCAGTGACAATCTCAGATTAAACAGATTAAAGCCTGCCCCGAGGACACAAGCCTCAGCCACAGCTTGACTCGGAACCGGTCCCAGAACCCTGCAGGTGCACCGCTTTAACTCACCTTTAGGATCTTCTCGTAAATGAACACCAGGTGGCGCCAAAGCAGAGCGGCTCTGCCCAGATCACAACTCTGAAAGTGTTTTCACACCAGCTGTAGACGACCTGCTGAACAGGGGGGGGGACAAGGGGGGGACACATCTCAGCAGCAGATGAACCTGGTCCAGCAGAAAGTTCTTGTTTCTGCAGCCATGAAATAAAAATGGCAGTTTAAAGTTTAGATATCACATGAGCTGACCTTCACTCAGACTAGCTGTTAGCTTATCAGTCATTAAGGGTCCAACCTTGGTCCTCCAGGACCTCCATCCAGCTGGTTCTAACACACCTGGTCTTAATCAGCAGGTGATTCAGCCTGGAGACTCCTGAGCTGTTATTTGATGGGAACGTTGGGAATCGTTCAGAACTTTCACAGACCAACTTAATGTTGGCCGAAACGTCCTCGACGATCAAAGGTCTAAAGTTAAAGCTGGTAATGGTCAACCCGGTTAATCCCTGCAACCCTAGACTTCCAACTTTAGGACCAACTTCCTGGTTCTCTTTGGGAACCAACACGGCTCCAGTTTGAGGGAACCTCTTACGGAAATCTCGTTTTTCACTAAATTACGAAACTTAAAGGATTTAAAACCCAAACCAACTTCTAATTCAGCCTGAGCAGAAATGGTGAGTCTTTGCCAGGATTTAAGATGTTTCAGTTATTTTATTTCTGTTCAGTTTTCGCCGCTGAAGGTTCAGACGGTCGTTGTGTTGGAAGCGTCGAACTCCTGACCAAACTAAACCCCTGCTCCTCCTCCTCCTCTCTGCAGATCTCCATAGTGAGCACAGAAGACGACTTATCCTGATCCCGATCGGGTCTTTCCTCACGGAAACTGGCTGCGGCGCCTCCTTGGTAACCATGCCAACGGTTGCTGTAGCAACAGCCCTTACAGTACAACCACATGCCTTCAGAAGTGCATTAAATCATGATCTGTGGTGAACACAACGTTATTTATTATGTGGATGCTTTGATTTGTTTTTCACTCGAGTGTTTAAGATGTTTTTTGTTTTGGAGTCGTTTTTCTCATCCTGTCCTTTGAAGGCGGTCGGAATCCTCTTTCCATCCGATCAGTGGGGAATTCCTCGCTCTGGTTGCCTTTCATGAGTTGATGGAAAACCGGACGACATGAATTACGGTCTCCCGGACCGGACTTGGACCGGTCACCGTTCTCAGGACTTGACGAAGCTCATGTTAGCCGAAGAGGGATGAGGTCAGAAGCTTTCCTTCATTCCCGCCCGGCTCCTCCAATGTGAATATGTTCTGTTTTCCTGCACTGGGGCGTCGCCATGGCTACAGTGTTTGTAGAGTGTAAATATGAATTTGTCCTCCTCAGAGACGTGGCGAGATCAGGACTCTTCGATGCACTTTGATCCACGTTTCATGTAAATAAGATTGTATTCTGGGACCCGGGTCACCTTTTTGCTAGCTGGGACCTCAGATCAGATGTATTTAAGAAGGAAGCGCCAGCCTTTGGTAAACACTATTTTGTATGTTTGTGCTGTTGCTGTGAACTTTTTATAGCCTCGTACGGCGGAGGGGACCACTCGGTCCGTGTCTGTGAAGGAAATGAATAAAATCTGAATTGGTGTTAAAAACGAACGCCTCTGCTGGTTTGTGACAAATGTTCGATTCGTCCGTCTGGATGTTTAGTTTCACTACAAACATCCTCATATCTACTCTTTACTCTTAAGATTTTCAGATTAGATCAAAACAAATTGGTAACGATAGTAAAATTAAAAGTTTTTCTTGCTGTGTGAGGGGGCGGAGCCACTAACGGCTCCAGGAAAACACCGAATCGCACCTCTAAAGCCAAATGAAGTGAAAACCTCCGATGCAGAAACCTCTCCAGCATGAGCGGGAACACGGAGAGCTGATGGGTTGTTGAGGATGTGTTTTTTCCAGAACTCGCCGAGTTCCATCCGTTCATTATCCCAGTTTAACTGCAGCTAGGATTAATCTCCATTATTCTGCTTCAGGACAAAATGTCACAAACTTGGATTAAGGCAGGGAGACGTGGCAGGATCTCTTACAGAACACCGCTGTGGTGTGTAGTTTACCTCCACATCTCTGTGGCATTAAACACTTCCCTATTTCTGTTTAAGGGACAAAAAATATAACATGATGGGAAGCTGCACATCTTCATGGTTTGGTGTGTGGGAGGAGCCAGTTTAAGGACTATGGTAGTCAAGTCTTTACAGGTTTTTCCTCTAAAAGTAAACGAGGACCTACTGCTGCAATCTAACACGGATTAAAAGCTGATTTAACCATTTGGATGAGACCGACTAGATGCAGGTTCCAGGATGGGTTTTAAAGGTGTGGTGCACCTGCAGTGGTCTCTGAGGAGGAGTGAATGCCTTGCAAGTCGTACTCTGGGTACAAAAACCCTGGCGCGCCTGTTTCAGTATCTAGGAGATCGCCAGATCAGAGTAGAGCTTCAGATCACAGGATTTGGAGTTTTCCTGATATGTGGACATCTCGACTCTGATTGGCTAATGGCAACATGGCTCTATCACTGACCTCAATGTTGCTGGAAGAGTTTGGCAGTGTGGTGGAGTTGCTAATGCTAACTGTTAGCTTCTAGCAGAGATGATCTGTTTCCTGAACGCTAAACCAACAGCAGCCTTCCCTGTCGTGACTCACGATGGGTGAGTTCATGAATGTTGAGCGACAGTGCGACTGTTTTCTCAGAAGCTAATGCAGGAGATGGGTGTAGGAGACTATTTTCATGTTAAGCCTGCATGAATCACTCGATGTCCGATTACAATCAGACATTATTAAAAATTATTTTCTCAGTGTACCACACCTTAAGCTCCGCCCCCTTCGCTTAAGTAAAGGGACATTTTCCAGATACGGAAAAATTACCCCCGAAGACGGACCTTCTAGCTGTGTTTTCATACATTTCTCCTAGTTGTTGTTGATCAGGAGATTTTGGTGAATAAGGTGTTTGGATCCATTTTTTATCCATGACATTTTTTGTTGCATGTAATTTTTAGTGGTTCATAAGGGAGTGCCCATATTTGGATTCTAATTTCTCTATGAATGGCCCCGCCCAGTTCCTGATGGGCGGGGCCAAAAGAAATCCTGCCGAGGATCATAAAATTATGGGTGGGATAGTTTGAGACAGGTTTTTACTCCTTCAGAATTTTCTGGGCCGTCTCTAAATGTGTTTAACGTGTTTAACACATGATCTGGCTGCAAATCCCGTTTGGAGGATTAGGGATGCTATGAGACGGTGGGATGAGTGGGAGAGATGAGGGGATGAACGCAGGAGGATAATACAAGTTAAACCTTTAAGCACGAGATTATCTCTGCCAGCGGACCGCTGCAGAACCGGGTCGGTGTGAGGATGATTCTGACTGATGAACACTATTGGGATGCTTCTTGGTTCTGTTGAGCTGACTGACGTTGGGATGTGGTGACCATGCTGACCCACCTCAGAACCCGGAGCAGGAGCTTGTTCTCCAGCTACAAGCCCGGCAGCCAGATTCAAGAAGTCCAGGAACCAAACCATCATCTGGACCTGATCAGCACCTTCATCAAACCATGGAACTCCATGCAGGTCAGACTTCCTGATCTTCATCACTAGTTTTAAGTTAAAATTTACTTTTTTATTCATTTTTTAAAAGATAAAAACAATCAGATTTTGTATCATCAAGATGAAAATAAAGGAGTTTCTTTCATTCCTGTCATTATTTCTCAGAAATAATGATTAAAAACACGTTCAGCTTGTTCCGTTCGTGAATATGTTCTTAAATGGATAATTACTGACTTGGTTATCTGATTTTACATCATTTAAACTTATGAACTTATTAAAGAGCAAGTCACCCCCTACCAGAGTATTACTTCCTGTTTGAAAAATGCAACAAATGCTGTTGCCTAGCAGACCGAGAGGGTGGAGCCGCTAACAAATACACACACAGGCTCACAACGACATTGTGACATCATATGGTACCAGCTAACGTTCTAGGGTACCTCTTAGCCAATAGCGATGGCAGATTTAAATTCAAATGCAGTGCAGAGTTTTCGGCACAACACCGACAGTTTTAGGCAGAAAATTTAAATTTTAACTAAAATGCACTAAAGTGCAAAACTATTGACTACACGTGTCTGCAGCATGATTAGACACACATTTATATAGTTTATCAGAAAAAAAAGTTGATTTGGGGGTGACTTGCTCTTTAAGAAAAGCTAATTATATATTATTTCAAATGTCATTTTTTAGTTTTCGTAACTAAATAAATGAAATGTTAAACATGTTTGAAAAGGCCACTGTGGTCATATTAAGTACTAATAAATCATATTTTTTTATTTTGGTGGATATTTAGCTGAAAAGCTAAAATTAAATGATGTAGGATATTTCATCCAGAGAAATGACTTTTACGCAGTTCTCCAACCGACAAATAAATCAATAACCCTAAATTAAACAATCTAAAGATAAAAACTTTCACCTGCTAGCTTACCAGATTTGCCTCCATTGAAGCTACATTTTGTTGATTTCAAGCTGAAATAGTTATTTGCTGTCTTGAAGGACCTGAGCAGAGATATCTACGATCTTTACGCCGAGTACGAGCGGGAGGAGCTGGAGGATCGCCTGCCTGTGTCGCCCTCTCGAATTCTGCTTTCTCCAACTAAACATCTAACACTCAACATCAACGTTGGAGGAACGGTAAACCGCACCTGGGATTTAAAGAACAAGTCACCCCCTACCAGAGTATTACTCCACTCCCACTTCCTGTTTGATAAATGCAACAAATGATGTTGCCTTGCTGACCGAGAGGGCGGAGCCACTAACAAATACACACACGGGCTCACAACGACATTATGACATCATATGGTACCAGCTAACGTTCTAGGGTACCTCTTAGCCAATAGCGATGGCAGATTTCAATTCAACTGCAGTGCAGAGTTTTTACCTGACAACGGCACAACACTGACAGTTTTAGGCAGAAAATTAAAATTTTAACTAAAATGCACCAAAGTGCAAAACTGTTGACTACACATGTCTGCAGCACGATTAGACACACATTTATATAGTTTATCAGAAAAAAATGTTGATTTGGGGGTGACTTGCTTTTTAAATCTGCTGAAATGGGAAGGCAGGTGTTATACAGAACTAAAAGAGGGCCAAAATCAGAAAGCTGAAACAAGACATTCGCTCAAATAAGTAAACTGCATTACTTCTTAGTTTCTTTAATAATTATTTTGTTAGTTTATGAGAAATGTTTGCTTTTTTGTGGGACCTTTAAGTCATATTTAATAACGTATGAAAAAAACATGTTAAATCTTCTTTCACTAAAATGTATTCTGTTAAACTTATTTTAAATACAAAATATTTTTTAAAAAGCCGGGTTTTTTTGAGTGCACGGGGTTCTGCTAACCTGGAAAGAAAAAATAAAAACAATAATTTAGAAATAATTTTAGAAATCTAAAATGATTAAATAATTAAGATGAGAAGAAAGTTTCCATACAATGCTGAAATGCAAGTGGCTCAAAACAAAAGTTTAATTTTATATTTTTCTTTTAAATTTAAAGAGCAAGTCACCCCGAAATCAACTTTTTTTCTGATAAATTATATAAATGTGTCTAATTGTGTTGCTGACATGTGCAGTCAATAGTTTTGCACTTTAGTGCATTTTAGTTCAAATTTTAATATTCTGTCTAAAACTGTCAGTGTTGTGCCGTTGTCAGGTAAAAACTCTGCACTGCATTTGAATTTAAATCTGCCATCGCTATTGGCTAAGAGGTACCCTAGAACGTTAGCTGATACCATATGATGTCACAATGTCGTTGTGAGCCCGTGTGTATTTGTTAGCGGCTCCGCCCTCTCGATCTGCTAGGCAACAGCATTTGTTGCATTTTTCAAACAGGAAGTGGGAGCGGAGTAATACTCTGGTAGGGGGTGACTTACTCTTTAAGTTTCAAAACTACAAAATTTTTCACGATTAGATTCTAAAGAGCAGAAATAATTTTTTTATGCTTTTTATTCATCTTTGCTGATTTGGGGGTGACTTGCTCTTTAAGGACACATTTCCAAGTTTAGCAAATTTTACGTTTATTTTACAAATCAGATTATTTAGTGACAACATGGAACAACTGACTTGTTTTTGGTTGCTGTTTTAGCGTTCCGCTCATTCCTTCCTCCAGGTGTACTTCCTGCCCTACAGGTTAGCTGCAAAGTATCCGACGACCCGGATCGGTCGGCTGGCCACGTACACGGACCACAACCAGAAACTGGACCTGTGTGACGATTACGTGGTCCAGAACAACGAATTCTTCTTTGACCGAGACCCAAAGATCTTCCACAACATCTTCAACTTCTACAGGTGAAGTCAGATTAATCTTATTGGGTAATTCATGAATGCCTTCTCCTCATGTCCCTGTCTGGTCCAACAGAACCGGAGTGTTGTCCATCAAAGACGACCTGTGTCCTTACAACTTTCTGGAGGAGATCCACTACTGGGGGGTCAGAATCAAATACAGCCAGCGCTGCTGCCGCATCTCGTTCGAGGAGCGGCAGGACGAGCTGAATGAGCAGCTGAAGATCCAGAAGGAGCTGATGGCTGAGGTGGGTTCCTGACGGGTTCTCCAAGGTTTCTCGCTAGCGCTGCTGTCTGTTCCTCTCACGGAGGGAAACCTGCAGCTGGGCTTCCAGGTTAAACATCAGGATTAGATGGGGGGGGCAGGTCTTCACAAGTCAACACGTCATTTAGAAGATTCGTAAATCGTTTTATTTTGATTCTTTTTTTTAATCGCTAAAAAAGGCGTGTTAGTAGAACATGATCGAGGTGATGGGTTCAGAGTCTCTCTGACTGCCCTAAATGGCCCTCCAGCCACAGTTTGGACACGCTGTTTCACACAGTTCCATCCATCCAACCATCTATCCATTCATTCATTCATTCATTCATTCATTCATTCATCCTTCAATCCATCCATCCATCCTTCAATCCATCCATCCATCCATCCATCCATCCATCCAACCATCTATCCATTCATTCATTCATTCATCCTTCAATCCATCCATCCATCCTTCAATCCATCCATCCATCCAACCATCTATCCATTCATTCATTCATTCATTCATCCTTCAATCCATCCATCCATCCTTCAATCCATCCATCCATCCATCCAACCATCTATCCATTAATCCATCCTTCAATCCATCCATCCATCTATCCATTCATTCATTCATTCATCCATCCTTCAATCCATTAATCCATCCTTCAATCCATCCATCCATCCATCCATCCATCCATCCAACCATCCATCTATCCATTCATTCATTCATTCATCCATCCTTCAATCCATCCATCCATCCTTCAAGCCATCCATCCATCCATCCATCCTTCAATCCATCCATCCATCCTTCAATCCATCCATCCAACCATCTATCCATTAATCCATCCTTCCATCCATCCATCCGTCCATCCATCCATCCATCCATCCATCCATCCAACCATCCAACTATCCATTCATTCATTCATCCTTCCTTCAATCCATCCAACCATCTATCCATTAATCCATCCTTCCATCCATCCATCCATCCATCCATCCATCCATCCATCCAACCATCCATCTATCCATTCATTCATTCATCCATCCTTCAATCCATCCATCCATCCTTCAAGCCATCCATCCATCCGACCAACCATTTCCACTTATTCGACCTTCCACTTCCACTTATCCGGAGTCGGGTCGCGGGGGCAGTAGTCTAAGCAGAGAGGCCCAGTCTTCCCTCTCCCCAGCCACATGGACCAGCTCCTCCGGCGGAATCCCAAGGTGTTCCCTGGCCAGGTGAGAGACATAGTCCCTCCCCCATGTCCTGGGTCTACCTTTAGGTCTCCTTCCGGTTGGACGTGCCCGGAAAACCTCACCAGGGAGGCGTCCAGGAGGCATCCTGACCAGATGCCCGAGCCACCTCAACTGGCTCCTCTCGATGTGGAGGAGCAACGGATCTACTCCGAGCCCCTCCCGGATGACCGAGCTTCTCACCCTATCTCTAAGGGAGAGTCCAGCCACTCTTCGGAGAAAACTCATTTCAGCCATTTATCTGTGAAATTGTGAATTTATAATTAACTTTGTACGCAAGCATCAAAATATTTCATTAGAATCGAAACCAAAATTCAGTTAAGTTGGTTCAATGTTCCTGACCAGAACGCAGAAGAACCAGGAACCCACCACACAGCAGGAACCTTCAATATAATTTACCAGAAAATCTGTTTGATCCTTAAAATTCATTTATAAAGTCTTGTTCTCGTGATCTTGTCCTTAACGTGATGAATGAACATACACCAGCAGCCCAACCTGTTCTTGTTGTTTTGATGCTGAAGAGTTGGATTAGAAAATGTAAAAATCCGCCGATTAACGTTTAATCTGTGTCGGGCTGGACCACCCAAACGACGTGTCTAAAAGGAAGTCTCGATCATAAAGTTTGAATTTTAAAGGATAAAACAGAAAAACTGTTTTGAGTTGAGAATAAAGTGTATTTGATTGGATCTAAGGAGTTAAAGGATGAAACCTGTTAATCCCACCTCAGACTAGGATTAACTGCTGCTGCTGCTGATGTTTTAGTCCAACTTTACTCTAAGTTTAAAACAAAAACGCTGATCTAATGATTTATTAAACTGTATTGCAACAGGAAGTTAAAACAGCAGCAAAGATCATTTTAAAGACAAATTAATTCATTGAAAATGATCAAAAAAGAAGGAAGAACCGGAGCAGTCGAGGAAACTCGTTAGAGGAAGCTAAAGGTGTTTTTCCAGGAGCAGTGCTCAGCCTAAAACCGCTCCGTACAGCGCATGAACAATAACACGAGGTGATCAGTAAACAGTGGAAGGTCGCCTGTACGCTCCACAGAAACGACTCGGCTGAGAAACGCCGCTGCTGGACTTTCTGCTCCGTTTTTGTCTGACTCTGAACCAGGAAATGGCTGCAGGCAGTGAAGCAGCAGGCAGAAACGCCCAAGCAACCAGTGACTCCGCCCCCTAGCCAATCAGCGGCCAGAATCACGATGCCAGCCTGACTCAGCCTTGCCAGGTACCCCAACGAAGTAGGGACTGAAAGACGCAGAGAAAGCAGAGGGAGAATCCCGATCCGTGCCCGTGGGAACAGCGCCGGGCCGAGCTGCACCGGTCCGAGGTGCTCTGAGTAGCGCTCCTGGGAAACCATGTAAGGAAGAGTAAATCACATCTGCCTGACGGAGCAGCTGAAGGCTCTCCTGCCTCTCAGTGAGTAGGTTGCAGGTTCAAATCCTGGCTGTGGCCTTCCTGTGTGAAGCTTCCCATGCTTGCGTGGGCCTCCTTCCACAGACTGAAAACATGCATGTGAGTGTTTATATGAGTCGTTTTGGATCAAATGGCCTGAGTCTGTCGGGGAGAGCCGACTCAGGACGGGATCGTCCCTCAGACCGATCCGGCTTCGTCTAATCTGCTGCTCGGGTCCATCTGACCTACATGAGAAATCCGCCTGTCGCCTCACAGCTGCAGAGCGGAACAGCTGCTTCTCGGCACAGATTTGGAGAAATGATGGATTCCGTGGGACTGAATATTACCGAGAGCTCCGTTGTTGTTGTTGTCCTAAACAGCTCATTCTGTCATGTTTCAGTTCCTAAATCTAATTTGGGAACGATTGAGTGATCAACTAGAAGCTGTTATGATCCAGCTGAGCAACTATTTGGAGACAAACCACCTACCAGATGGTTTTCAGTCAGGCTGCAGACAACACCACAGCTCTGGTCAGAAATGATCTTCGTCTAAAAACGGATTCAGGCAAAACATCCGTCCTGAAGATGCTCCATCTCAGTGCAGCTTTAGATGCCCTTCTTGATAGGCTCATAAACTGGGCGGGACTTTCAGCCACGGCCCCCCTGGGTCAGGTCACACATAATAACAACGTGGCCTGTCATAGTTATGCAGATGACACCCAGATCTACCTAGCTCTCTCACCCAGTGGCTGTGGTCCTCTAGACTCACTCTGTCACTGTTTGGTGCAGCAGTAGCTCAGGAGGTAGAGCGGGTTGCCTCATGATCCGAGGGTCATGGGTTTGATTCCAGCTCCCGCCAGGGGTATTCTGCTGTTGTGTCCTTGGGCAAGACACTTCACCCAACTTACCTGAGTTGGTGGTGGTCAGAGGGGCCGACGGCTGCCAAACGGCAGCCTCGCCCCTGTCAGACCGCCCCAGGGTGCGTCATTTGGAATTCTAGGACGCCCAAAGAAGATCCCGCCTTTCTCGCCTCTGATTGGCTAGAAAGGCTTCACTAAGATTGGCTGTTTCACTCAGCAGCAAACCGGCTGTCCTCGCTAAGCGCAGGCTGTCCGTTCGCCACCAGCAGAAGGCTGTTTTAGGGAGTTTTGTAAAGAAAATGTGAACGTAGCTCTATAATAAACATTCTGTCCTGTTTTGCTAAACATTTTATGCTTCATAAGAAACTGAAAAACGTGAATTTAAAATCTTGTTGCATTTATCAAACTGTTGTTCTTACTTTATATCTCTTGGATCTGAAGCATTAGAGTACTTAGGAAAAACACATGTGCCTTACCTGGGTATGATAAAACTGCACTATTCTGCCCAGCGGTGTGCACCAGGTCTGTTTGTCTTCTAGAATAATAAAACCTGGTGAACAATGGGTCTAAATCATAATCAGCTTTACCTTAATATTTGATTAAATGATAAACATTTAATCTGATCATGAGAGACGTGCTCTAACTTGTAAACAGCCTCAACCTATAAAAGCGAAGACATAGGGTAGCCTAATAATGAACTATTATATGATAACTCCTATAGAGCTAAATGGAGATTAAAAGGTCAGTCCAACAGTGATAAAATGCAACAAGAATTATTACAAGTTTACATTTGACGTGTTTCAGGTTCTTTTATGAGAGAAACTGAAACAAGTTTGTTACTAAACAGGAAAGGATGTTTATTGCGGCGATGAGTTCGCATTTTCTTAAAAAGCTTCTCAAGATCTGGCTGTAAGCTTAAAAACCTGCAGCGAGGGGAAACGGTTTCCTCTTACACGAAACAGCCAATCGTAGGAGAGCCCTTCCAGCCAATCAGAGACTAGAAAGGTGGGACCTTCCTTGGACATCCTAGAATTCCAAATGACGCCCCCAGGGCAGCAGTGGCTACATAGTAGCTCACCATCACTGGCAGTGTGTGAATGTGAGAGTGCATGAAAGTGTCTCTGAGTGTCCTAAAAAGCGCTATATAAGTTTAATCTATGCAAGGGTGATGGAGGGGGCATGGGAGTTTGCCCACCAGTCCACGTGTGTTTTGTGGATTTGGAGAAGGCTTATGACCGTGTCCCCAGGGGGACGCTCCAGGAGTATGGGGTGGGTGGCTTTCTGTTAAGGGCCATCCAGTCCCTTTACCAGAGGAGCGTGAGTTTGGTCCGCATAGCCGGTAGTAAGTCGGACCTGTTCCCGGTGAGGGTTGGACTCCGCCAGGGCTGCCCTTTGTCACCGGTTCTGTTCATTACCTTTATGGACCGAATTTCTAGGCGCAGCCGTGGTGTGGAGTGTGTCGAGTTTGGTGGCAGGAGAATCTCGTCTCTGGTTTTTGCAGATGATGCGGTCCTCCTAGTTTCATCCAGCTCTGACCTTCAGCTCTTGCTGGGTAGGTTCGCGGCCGAGTGTGAAGCGGCTGGGATGAGGATCAGCACCTCCAAATCTGAGACCATGGTTCTCGACCGGAAAAGGGCGGCTTGCCAACTCCGGGTCGGGGGAGAGGTCCTACCTCAAGTGGAGGAGTTTAAGTATCTCGGGGTCTTGTTCACGAGTGAGGGTAGGAGGGATCGGGAGATCGACAGGCGGATTGGTTCAGTGTCTGCAGTGATGCGGACGCTGAGCCGATCTGTCGTGGTGAAGAGGAGCTGAGCCAGAAAGCCAGGCTCTCGATTTACCGGTCGATTTACGTCCCAATCCTCACCTATGGTCATGAGCTTTGGGTAATGACCGAAAGAACGAGATCGCGGATACAAGCGGCCGAAATGAGTTTCCTCCGTAGGGTGGCCGGGCTCAGCCTTAGAGATAGGGTGAGGAGCTCGGACATTCGGGAGGGACTCGGAGTAGAACCGCTGCTCCTCCTGATCGAAAGGAGTCAGTTGAAGAGGTTTGGGCATCTGGTCAGGATGTCTCCTGGACGCCTCCCTGGGGAGGTGTTTCGGGCATGTCCTGCCAGCAGGAGGCCCCCGGGTCGACCCAGGACACGTTGGAGAGGTTACATCTCCAATCTGGTCCGGGAACGCCTTGGGGTCCTGCCGGAGGAGCTGGTGGAGGAGGCCGGGGAGGACGACGGTCTGGAGCTCCCTAGTTGGGATGCTGCCCCCGCGACCCGGACCCGGATAAGCGGAGGAAGACGACGACCCGGGTCAGAAATCTGGGCGTCATCATTGATTCAGACCTGATGCAGCAACCAAAAGTAATAACGTTCTCAAACCCGTGAGCCAATAACAGTGTAATAAGTTATTACATTGTTGGCTTAGTATTAAAAATACTTAGAAATGTAATAACTGGTGCAGATAATGCAATAATACATAAATGTGACTGCAGTTCCTGGAAATAAAATCATTTTTTGCTATTTTTGTGCAGTTTGCTAATCAAAAATAGGTATAGTGTATGATGTAGCTGTCATATTTATTCATACAAGATGAACTGTGTGGTCTTTTCAGCGGGTAGAACCGGGTCAGAACCAAACCGGGTGAAGCTGCTTTTAGCTGCTCTGCTGCTCGCAGATGGATTTGGCTCCCTCATGACCTCAAATGTGCCCCAACTCCAGAAATGTTTAAATCAAAATGTTTTCATCAGCCTTTGGGTGAAAGTTTCTTAGGCCGACTGCACACCGGAAGCATCAGCGGCCCGGAGCGGCGGCGGAAAGTCGCCGCTGTAAATAGAATCCGTCAGAGTCTGCGGGGTGATTCAAACCAGCCGCGATTTTCAGGTGCATCCAGAAACGCCGCGCCGCGCCGCCAAAGGTAGGATCGGGTTATGTCATGTGGACGCGACAATTTCCACAGGAAATCACACGGTTTCAGTGTAAAAGCTCCTGTAATTTTCAAAATAAAAGTATTACAGCAATGCAATTTCATATCTATGTAAATTACATCAATACGCGTGACCTAATGACTTACTTACTCCCTGCATCAGTCGGAAGTGCAGCGGTGTTTATGAGGAGCAACATCTTTTGGGTTTAATGGCGGACGGCATAAACTCGAGGGACGTTGTGATCTCGTGCGTCGAGCGACGAGCACGGCGGGAAGCTGCTTCGCGGCTGAAGCTCTCCCGGTGTGCACTGGAGTGCAGCGATTGTGGCGAGTACGCCTTTTCGCGGCCGTTCGGCGCCGCCGGTGCCTCCAGTGTGCAGCAGGGGCTATGCTGCACCTTCTGCACTGTAACTGCTCACCCTTCTCTTCTGATTCTTACATCAAACTTTATTTGTGCATTTAAGTTTGATTTTATAATCTGCTGTTTTATGTTCTTGCTCCTGGAAAACACTAGAACTGCTTCTGTGTGAGAAACGTGCAGGGGCGTGTCCAGATCTTTTAAAATGGGGTGGCCCAGGTGAGGCATGGGTGGCACCAATGGTTATGCTTTATTTTGTTTTACCCCTAAGCCTTTTGTAGACAATGAAAAGCCGATTTAAAGGTACATTAGTGTGGCGGCACCTGGGGTGGCCAATAAGATTCCAAGGGTGGCATGTGCTACCCAGGCCACTCCCTGGACACGCCCCTGGAAACGTGCTTCAGAAATAAAGCCGCCTCGCCTGACGAAGCATTAACTAAACAGGAGTAAAAGATAAAAACCTCTTTTACCAAATATGGTACAAATAGGTTGTGTTGTCTTCAACGCTGTTGTCGTGCCTCCAGCTGGAGAAGGAGGAGAACGAGGAGGTCTACGATCACATGACCTGCGGTCTGACTCGGAGGAAGATCTGGAATCTGATGGAGAAGCCGTTCTCCTCCATCACCGCCAAGCTGGTGGCCGTGGCCTCCTCCTTCTTTGTGTTGGTGTCACTGGTTGCCATGACGCTCAACACTGTGGAGGAGATGCAGTACAAGGTGTGTGTGTGTGTGTGTGTGTGTGTGTGTGTGTGTGTGTGTGTGTGTGTGTGTGTGTGTGTGTGTGTGTGTGTGTGTGTGTGTGTGTGTGTGTGTGTGTGTGTGTGTGTGTGTGTGTGTGTGTGTGTGTGTGTGTGTGTGTGTGTGTGAGAGAGAGAGACAGACCCCCCTCTGGTCACACCTGTCTCTGCAGAGAGAGGGAGGGGGAGAGAGAGAGAGTGTCCCCTCTGGTCACACCTGTCTCTGCAGAGAGAGAGGGGGGGGGGAGGGAGAGAGAGTGTCCCCTCTGGTCACACCTGTCTCTGCAGAGAGAGAGAGAGAGAGGGGGGGGGGGGAGAGAGAGAGAGAGGGGGGGAGAGAGAGAGAGAGAGAGAGAGAGAGAGAGAGAGAGAGAGAGAGAGAGAGAGAGAGAGAGAGAGAGAGAGAGAGAGAGAGAGAGAGAGAGAGAGAGAGAGAGAGAGAGAGAGAGAGAGAGAGAGGAGAGAGAGAGAGAGAGAGAGAGAGAGAGACCCCTCTGGTCACACCTGTCTCTGCAGAGAGAGAGAGGGAGGGGGGGGGAGAGGGAGAGAGAGAGAGAGGGAGGGGGAGAGGGAGAGAGAGAGAGAGGGAGGGGGAGAGGGAGAGAGAGAGAGAGAGACACCCCTCTGGTCACACCTGTCTCCGCTCCAGACACCGGCGGGCCAGCCCAGCGGTCGGTACTACGGTGAGAACGTGGAGACGTTCTGCATCACCTTCTTCACGCTGGAGTACCTGCTGCGTCTGCTCTCCACTCCGGACCTCCGCTGTTTTGGACGCAGCGTTCTGAACACCGTGGACCTGATCGCCATCCTTCCACACTACCTGCAGATGGTCCTGGAGTGCTTCGAGGACGAGGACTTCCACCTGCACTCTGGGGACATCGAGACGGTGGCTCGTGTTGGAAAGGTGAAAGCAGGACAGGCGCTGCTGTACGGGTCCGTCCGGTACTGGTCCTGACTCGGGGGTTGTTTTCGGTTCTATGTGTGTGTGTGTGCAGGTAGGCCAGGTTCTGAGGATCATGCGTCTGATGAGGATCTTCAGGATCCTGAAGCTGGCTCGTCACTCCACGGGACTCCGAGCCTTCGGCTTCACCCTGAGGCAGTGCTACCAGCAGGTCGGACCTCGGCCCGTCACACAGAACCACGGACGTAGTTTCTTTTTCTCCAAAGTAAAAATGTGTCCCCTGCACTTTTAACCGTCCAAAAGCAACATGGCTGTTAAAGAAACGCTGGTGGAGCACTAGGACCTGTTCCCGTTACATATGCCCCCCCACGTCTATGTCCATGAACTCTTGTCCCACTGGATCAGAACCAATCTGAGCACACATGTGTTTTTAACATCCACCCAGTTCTCCAGAACCACAAACCAGTCCTGGTTCAGTTTTCTTCCCTGTAATGTTCCAGAACCAACTCCAGAACTTAAAGATGTCCTGAATCGGGTCCTCCTCGTCTCCCTTTTAGTTTCTGAGGTCTGGCCCGTACTGTCAGAACCTGATCCAGGTGTGTGGACCTGGTACCGACACCAGCCTGGTAGCTCGTTTTCCTGCCATTCAGAGTCCATTTATTACACAGACTTTTAAATTCTGATCCATTTGACCACATCATGGTTCTGATGGAGACCACGCCTCCAGACCGGGTTCTGTTCAGCTCAGTGAAGCAGAACCACTGTGATCCTGGTCCAGATGCAGGATTTGTGGTTTTCATGAATCACTTTCGCCTGATTTTGTTAGAACTTCGGTCCAAACGTCTCAAAGTTCTGAAAAGTCCGACCAGAATCTCTTGTGTTCATGAAGTCGTTTAAAAAAAAACCTAAAATCATCTAAACACACGAACCTCTGTGCAGGTGGGCTGTTTGCTGCTCTTCATCGGCCTGGGGATCTTCATGTTCTCCGCCATGGTGTACAGTGTGGAGCACGACGTCTACAACACCAACTTCACCTCCATGCCACAAGCGTGGTGGTGGGCCGCGGTGCGTTCGCCAGCATCGACACAAAACGCTCCAAACACTCGCCGAGGTTCCCCCTCACTCGCATCTTAACTCCTGGAGTCCTGTGTCCACATGTGTGGAGACGTTATTCTCTTCTACTTGGACCTTCAATAGAGACGCCTGATGTTGACTTTAAAGAGCAAGTCACCCCCAAATCAACATTTTTTGCTGATAAACTATAAATGAGTTTCTGATCGTGCTGCAGACAAATGTAGATAATAATTTGACACTTTAGTGCATCTTAGTTAAGATTTTAATTTTCTGCCTAAAACTGTCAGTGATGCACCGTTGTCAGGTAAAAACTCAGCACCGCATTTGGATTTAAATCTGCCATCGCTATTGGCTAAGGGGTACACTGTGATGTTAGATGGTAGGTTATGATGTCACAGTGTTGTGTGTGTGTGTATTTGTTAGCGGCTCCGCCCTCTCGGTCTGCTAGGCAACAGCATTTGTTGCATTTTTCAAACAGGAAGTGGGAGCGGAGTAATACTCTGGTAGGGGGTGACTTGCTCTTTAATGCTATAATTTTTTTGTCTTTCTTTTTTTAATGATTTTTTTTGTTATCTTTTCATTTATTTGAGTTTGTTTATTACGGTCGACTAATTGTCCTGTTGGCTTCATCAGAACGTGACCTTCAGCTTTCGCTGGAGTAGTTCGCAGCCGAGTGTGAAGCAGATGGGATGAGAATCAGCTCCTCTAAATCTGAGACCATGGTCTTGATTCGGAAAAGGGTAGAATGCCTGCTCCGGGTCAGGGACGAGGTCCTGCCCCAAGTGGAGGAGTTTAAGTATCTCGGGGTCTTGTTCATGAGTGAGGGAAAACTGGAGCGTGAGATCGATAGGCGGATTGGTGCTGCATCTGCAGTGATGCGGGCGTTGTACCGGTCTGTCATGGTGAAGAGAGAGCTGAGTCAGAAGGTGAAGCTCTCGATTTACCGGTCGATCTACGTTCCTACCCTCACCTATGGTCATGAGCTTTGGGTAGTGACCGAAAGAAGGAGATCGCGGATACAAGCGGCCGAAATGAATTTTCTCCGAAGAGCGGCTGGGCTCTCCCTTAGAGATAGGGTGAGAAGCTCGGTCATTCGGGAGGGGCTTAGAGTAGACCCGCTGCTCCTCCACATTGAGAGGAGCCAGTTGAGGTGGCTCAGGCATCTGGTCAGGATGCCTCCTGGATGCCTCCCTGGTGAGGTTTTCCGGGCACGTCCAACCGGGAGGAGACCTAAAGGTGGACCCAGGACACGGTGGAGGGACTATGTCTCTCACCTGGCCAGGGAACGCCTTGGGATTCCCCTGGAGGAGCTGGCCCAAGTGGCTGGGGAGAGGGAAGTCTGGGCCTCTCTGCTTAGACTACTGCCCCCGTGACCCGACTCCGGATAAGCAGATGAAAATAGATGGATGGACGGTCGACTAATCTGTAATGGCTAGATTTTCTTTTTCTTTTAAATCAAACCAAATACAAGTCTGGGTCCCTGGAGGTTCAAGTCGACCCGGTCGTAGCGGGCCTCCAGGACCCGTCTCGGTTGGGAAACAAGACGACTTTGGGAGGAGTTGGAGACAGGTTTTCGTTGGAATCGCACTGAATTGGTGCAGAGGACAGGTTTTTTATCTGAGCGGGAGATACGAACCGCTGTAATAGTCGTGCTAATTTTATCGTTGCAACTTAATCACAAAGGGTCTCGGTTTGTTCCTGATTTAGTCTCCAGCTCCTCACTAAAGTTCTCCAACCCTTTTCAAACTTTGACTTTCTCACTCGCTAAAAAAAACGGTCTCGCAACTTGTTGAAAAGTTCCAGACGTGACGGCGAAGCTCCTCCGAGACATTCTGGAAGCTCCTTGTGAACCTCGTTTGTTACCACCAGTGAGACTTTAGATTTGACTCATTGGATGAAAACCAGAATCTCACATTCGAGGTGTAAAAAATAATCAAACACTTTGTGACGAGAGCTGATCCACAGATTCAACAGTCCAGCGTTCTGATTCCTTATCCGTTTGTTTCTTTGGTCTCAGGTGAGTATTTCCACGGTGGGTTACGGCGACATGTTCCCGGAAACCAACCTGGGTCGTATCTTCGCCTTTGCCTGCATCTCCTTCGGCGTAATCCTGAACGGGATGCCCATCTCCATCCTCTACAACAAGTTCTCCGACTACTACACCAAGCTCAAGTCCCACGAGTACGCCATGGTGTCTAAGGCCCGCGGCAAGGTGCGCTTCATCAAGAGGGCCGCCAAGAAGTTTGCAGAGTACTGCGACGAGGCCGTAGACCTGAAGCCTGAGGAAGGAGATGGGTTTGTAGAGATCTTCTCTGAGAGACCAAGGTCTGAGCTGCCTGGGTGTTGATGGCACACTTTTAAAAACCTCAAACCGTTTCAGAACTGAGTCTGTGCGGATGAAACCAGATGGCTTTGGCTGGACACCAACATGGCTGACTCAGCAGCCTGTTGGTGGTCCAGTTTGATCTGGAGGTGCGTTTGAGTCGCGGCGCACCGCTTCCAGCCAAGCATGGATTAAACTTAGAGTAGACACAAAGGAAGATGACTCTGAGAACATCTGATGTAGCCGCAGTCTTTATGCTAACATGTGCTAGTAATGCTAACCTTTAGCGCTTCCAGCCAAGCATGGATTAAACTTAGACACAAAGGAAGATGACTCTGAGAATATAAATGAGTCTGATGTAGCAACCAGTCTTTATGCTAACATGTGATCGTAATGCTAACCTTTAGCCACTGCTGCTAACTAATCGGATTAATCACTACTGATGATGTTAACAGACTAATTGTAAAATTATCACCAAGCAAACACGATGTTAGCATCACTTGCTGCTTGAAATAATAAAAACTTTACATTACTGGCGTGTCGTGACTGAAAACACACACCAGCACTGTTATTTAGACAGGTCATGTATCTTTCCAGAGGTGTGGACTCGAGTCGCGTGACTTGGACCCGAGTCATTATTTTAATTACTTCTGACGTGACTTGATAAAATCTATAAAGACTTACGACTTGACTCGGACTTGAATGCCAATGACTTGCAACTTGAATCAACTTGCATCTGTTGACTTGACGATGACTTGAGCATACCGTATTTGATATTTCAGCACAAAAGTGAAACGACATGGACAAAAATCATAAAGGAGTCTTCGGTCTGGATTTGATCTCTTTCTGCTGAATGCAGCAGCTCTTTGTTTATGGTAAATGGCCTGTATGTGATATAGCACCTTCAGAGTCCTGGAACCCCCCAAGGCGCTTTACAACACAACCAGTCATTCACCCATTCACACACAGGTGTGGATGAGCTACAATGTAGCCACAGCTGCCCTGGGGCGCTCTGACGGAGGCGAGGCACAGGCGCCACCGGTCCCTCCGACCACCACCAGCAGGCAACGTGGGTTAAGTGTCTTGCCCAAGGACACAACAGCGACAGACTGAGTGGGGCTCGAACCAGCAACTTTCCGATTACGGGGCGAGTACTTAACTCCTGTGCCACCGTCGCCCACATTTATAATCAGTTTCACTTTCTTTCTGCTTGTTTGAGCAAATAAATGAAGCTATTTCTGGAATTTATTATCATTAAGTTGGACAGATGACTTGAGTATGACTTGGACTTCCACATCATTGACTTTGGACTCGACTTGGACTTGATTGTCTTTGACTTGGACTTGACTGGAAAGACTTACTTGTGACTTGCAAAGCAGTGACTTGGTCACACCTCTGTATCTTTCAACAAAAAATTTGATCATATCAGAATATTTTTTATTTTCCACACACCTGACAGAATTTAATACAAGATACAAAATCTTACAAAGAAGAATCTGAACCAGAAAACAAAGAATCTCGGGTCACCAGAAGAAACTTAAAAGTTCTGCTTTTATCGGTTTTCCTTGTGCGATTTCATCACGTGACCACCAGGGGGAGCCATGCAAACACACAACGTGTCTTTTAAATGTCCTGAAATACCAGAAACTCATTTAGGTGTTGAAATGAGACCAAGTGTCCCAGATGTTTCCGGTTAGGCAGACAACGGTTCCTTTAAAGGATTTCTACTTGTTCAGGTTCTCCAGCAGAACTTCGACTCCTTTGATGTCTGTAATTCTGCTGAGCTGAGTCCGGATGGATTGGAGCGCCTCCTTCACCTCCGCCGCCACAGATCTATCAC